ACCCGTCCCGTGACGACACCAGAGCGGTCCCACATCTGCCGCGCATCACGCTGGAGAAGTTCGGCGGCTCTGCCATCGAGTGGCCGCGGTGGATAGCCCTCTTCAAAGCGCTGGTACACGACCGCGCCGACCTCACCGACGTAGAACGGCTGACCTATCTGCAGACTCACCTGACGGGGCCGGCGAGAGAGTCTGTGCGGGGCATGCTCTGCGACGCCAGTCTATACAGCACCGCCCTGTGTGAGCTGGAGCGAGAGTTTGGTGACCCGTCCCGTGTGATACACGCCACGATGAAAAGACTGCTCACAGCGCGGCCAGTGAAAGACGGTGACCTGTCAGCGCTCACAGAGCTGTCTCGTGAGCTCCACACCGCGGTGAGCGTCCTACAGTGTCTGCACTACGAGCACGACCTCGCTGCCGCCACGAACGTCACCACTGTGACTGGGAAGCTACCAGCCTCCCTCGCCTGGAGATGGGGCGAGCACATGGTGGAAAATGGCATCACTCGTCCGACGCTCGTCGATCTCGACGAATGGCTTCGCCGTCATGTGTCAGCTGGTCGGTTGGCCTTGAACGTGACCACCAAGCAGCTGCCGAAGGTCGAGGCTAATGACGCTGAGTGCCGCCCAAGACGCGTGTTTACCACCGCGTCGGCGCGGACCACGCCGGCGGCTGTAAAGCGGGGGAGGACGGCGGCCATAAAACCATCAGCGGACGGGAACAGCGCCGGCTGTGCCATGTGTCAGCAAACACACCAGCTCCAGCGCTGTGACAAATTTCTCGCGCTGACTGTGAGTGAGAAGGCAGAGTTCGTCGGCAGAAACGGACTGTGCTTTAACTGCCTGGGTCGCGATCACATCAGCGCCACGTGTCCCAGTGATGCACGATGTGACGCGGAGCACTGCGGCAGGCGTCATCACACGCTGTTACACAATGGAGGACGAGTGTTTCCGCTGCGCGATTCCGATGATGGTACGCCGTCATCTGCCAAACATGTCGGCACCGCATCGGCCGAGCCTCGCAGTGATATTCTCCTGCAGGTGGTGCCCATCACCGTAAATGGGCCGGCAGGTAGCCGCACCACGAACGCACTCTTCGACCTGGGCAGTCAGGTCACACTGATCACCGACGACCTGTGTGACCGGCTCGGCATCTCGGGGCCCACCGACAAATTGGTACTGAGTACGCTGAGTGGGACCCAAACGACGACGTCACGACGTGTATCCTTCGCCGTCGAGGCTGTGGGCGGCGACGGCAGGGCACACCGTATACGAAACGCCCAAACGACGCCGACGTTAAACGTGTCAGCCAAGGCCATGGACTGCACAGTAGCAAAGGAGAAATGGCCGCACCTTGCCGACCTGGATCTCCCCAGCGCCACCCACGGCCCAGTGGAGGTGCTCCTGGGAACCGACGTCATCGAACTTATTGTGCCGCGGGAAGTGATCGAGGGACCGACGGGAACGCTGTGCGCCGTAAGGACGCTGTTGGGATGGACGGTGACTGGGCGGGCGTCGGAACGCTCGGTGCTCGATGGTGAACACGTTGTCAATCACGTTCGTGTCAGTGATAAAACGAGTGCAGTCGCTGACCTTCACACCCAGGAATCATCAGAGACGACCCAGTGGTGTCACGCAGCCGAGCCGCCGGGCCCGGCCGACATCTTCAGCAGAGGCGGCCCGGGGACGGACCTCGCCCCCGGCGGACCGTGGATACGAGGTCCAGCTGCGCGGTCCGGCCCGGCCGCCCTCTCCGACGACGAGACGAGGGTGACGGCGTGCGTCACCGAGCGAGCGGAGCCGGTCGTAAACGGCAGTGTCTTCTCGTCCTGCCTCATGGACTCCGGCGGCCTGCTCAGAGTCGGTGGCCGCCGCTGGAAGCGGAAGAACGCGCAGCCGCAGGATCGCTCCTGGCGACGCCGGCGGCGAGAGTGTCTCCCCGCGCACGCCGACCGCACACTGCATGTCGATCATGGACCCGACCGAGGTCAGGGTTGGCGAACTAGTGCGACTGACCGACGTAAACGTACCACGTGGACATTGGTCGGTGAGATGAGCGGAGTGTGTGACCCTGGTGTGGGCGGTCGTATTCCCGCCGTTGACGTGACGACTGATACCGGCCAGTACAGGCGGCCTGTCTCTCGTCTCTGCCGTCTTGAGTGCGACGGCGACGGACAGTAAATGGACTCGGAGAGATAATGTGCGCGCACGTGGGACGGCTAAAGTGAGTCGTCTACGACCGCACTGTGCCGCCGGCGAGCAGTGTGGAGATCGGAGCGTTTATTAGTGTTTCCTGCGCCCACCATTCGCGGTGCTAACGTGTGTGTGTGTGTGTGCGTGAGAGAGTGAGCCGCTCATTCTGTCCGCTGCGAATGGTCATTTGTGTTGAGTGTTCACTGTTCAGCCATTAGCTATCAGCTGTGAGCCGTGTGACAGTTCTTGGACGCGCTAGTAGTTTACGACCTTAGCAGTGTTATATTAGTTTATGATACGCACCGTGTTAGTGCTATTGTACGTCCGCGTTTGTTCGCTTCGCCGTTTCGGTAACGTAATGTGTGTCGTGTTGTACTTTGTGCGATGGGCGTTAGTGTGTCGGCAATGTGACGGCGCTGTCACTGCCGCCAGTGCCTCTCGAGCGAGTGTTCATAGTTAACGACATGCGTCAGTGCGTGACAGTGACCGGCGGCCGGGACCGCGCCGTCGTATAGTTTTACGACTGGGCACGTGATTGTTGTCAGGAATGACCTCCGCCCCGGCCAGACTCTGTGTAGTGCGTAATGCGTATTGTATGTGAGTGTATGCATATCGCGCATGTTGAACGGATCGTTACGAGTGTGTGCGTGCGTACGGGACGCTTGAACGATTGCTCGCTAGTTGTTGGATTTTCCGCGGATGATCGCGAAAAGCCTACGGCTATGTTAAATACTATGAAAACTATGAAAACTATGAAAAAATACGGCTATGTTAGCGAGCAAATGGGCATTTTGGATATCTTCGCAAAGACGGCCGGCGCTCGGAGCGCGGCGGTCGGTCCGCCGCGCCACGCCGCTCACATATGTGTCATCTGGCCCCTGTCCTGGTTCTCATGCCCACGTGTTGTGCGTACCACGAGGGCTGAGACGGGACGGGGGCCTGACAGTCTTCGACGGGACTCCACCGGTGCGCGACGGCCCGGTGCACGACGTGGCCGACGTGGCCTTACGTACGACGCGGCCGACGTGGCCCTACGAGAACGATTCAGTGAACCGCATTTGTGACCGCCGTATTTTGTGCATTTTAATCGTTTCCGTTTCATTCAAGAATAGACTTTTACTTATATGAACAATAACTTTATGGTCCTCCGGGTGACGAGTACGAGAACGAGTGACGCACGAACATTTCCGTATCGAACGGGTAAACTGTACGATTCTCATGAACATTCTGGCACTGATATCCGGCCCGGAGGACCAGAATGTTCATGAGAATCGTACAGTTTACCCGTTCGATACGGAAATGTTCGTGCGTCACTCGTTCTCGTACTCGTCACCCGGAGGACCATAAAGTTATTGTTCATATAAGTAAAAGTCTATTCTTGAATGAAACGGAAACGATTAAAATGCACAAAATACGGCGGTCACAAATGCGGTTCACTGAATCGTTCTCGTAGGGCCACGTCGGCCGCGTCGTACGTAAGGCCACGTCGGCCACGTCGTGCACCGGGCCGTCGCGCACCGGTGGAGTCCCGTCGAAGACTGTCAGGCCCCCGTCCCGTCTCAGCCCTCGTGGTACGCACAACACGTGGGCATGAGAACCAGGACAGGGGCCAGATGACACATATGTGAGCGGCGTGGCGCGGCGGACCGACCGCCGCGCTCCGAGCGCCGGCCGTCTTTGCGAAGATATCCAAAATGCCCATTTGCTCGCTAACAAATTATAAAGAAACAGGCTATAGTGTCCCAGCGTTCCCGGCCAAACAGTTAGAGCATCAGATGCATGTAGTTCTCATAGGTCACGTCAGACAAGACCACAGCTGCATTCCACGGATCACGGAGCACAGTCGGCAATTAAACACGGCCCGTGAGTCACGGGGATTGTAAACGATAATGGGGGAGTGTCGGGTTCGCCGAGTCTGAGAACAGCTGGTTGGAACGGTGTGGGACTCTAAACTTCTGACTGACAGACGTAAACCTCCTGAAAACTTCTTACCAGATTTTTGTTCATTGCGCTGATAATGTAATCCTCATCGTGCTAACGCAACTATGACTTTGTCGCTGGTCCAGACCAGTTTTTTTTTGTCGCTTACCATGCTAACCACATTAAAGCCTTGATGGATACCTACTTCTGATGGTTGTCTCTTGTCTGCGAAAATGCACTCCGGAGACAAAAGTCCACGATATTTACGCTTATACTTCAGGCTCAGTTCATGTGTGTATGATGCCAGCTAACGTGTGAAATGGCTGGTTAACCAATGCACGTATGTGCAATGTGCAGTGCATTAATCTTGTCATAAGAGGAAGGTTATGGCCGGATAAATCTTGTCACGATAACAGTCGTCCGCTGTGATTGTGCCTGTCGCGGCCGCGGTAACAAAGATTGCAGACCAAGTGAGACAACACGCGCGGGAGCCGAGCAAAACGAATCTATCGACCGCCAAGTGAATGCAGGCTATTTCTGTCGATTGAACATCCACGTAGAGACCACTAGGCAGCCCTTACACCTAAGCCGGGTCGGTCGTGAATGCGACGCCGACCGGGTCAGCGCACGTCATGTCCACACTTTTCATGCTTACAGATTACGGACGACCGTCAATCGTCATTCACAAATTGCTGCCGTTAAACGTTGTGATGAATTCATATATAATGCCGCTGACTGTTGCAATTCATTAGCAAGTAATCTACTAGGGTTGACTATTAAATAACTAAGGTTTCCGGAATAATGATATCACTGGCTGCTGCGCTGCCTCTTCTGACACACGCAGAGCCCAAAGTCGCCTCCAGTGACGCCCCCCCCCCTGCCTTGCAGCTCTGGCGGGCTCGCTGTGCACGGGCCTGACGTTTCTGATGTCGGCTGCCTCCGGCGTGCTGGCCGATCATGTGGGCATGCGCCGCACCGCGTGCTGCGGCGCCCTCATGGCCTTCACCGGCCTCCTCGTCTCGGCGTTCGTCTCCGGTCAGGTGAGTGTGTGAGAGATGTGTGAGAGATGTGTTGTGTGAGAGATGTGTGAGAGGTGTGTGAGAGGTGTGTAAGAGATGTGTGAGTGATGCGTGAGAGGTGTGTGAGATATGTGTGAGATATGTGTGAGAGATGTGTGAGGGATGTATGAGAGATGTATGAAAGATATGTGGGATGTGTGAGAGATGTGTGAGAGATGTTTGAGAGATGTGTGAGGGATGTGTGAGAGCTATGTGGGATGTGTGAGAGATGTGTGAGGGATGTATGAGAGATGTGTGAAAGATGTGTGAGGGATGTGTGAGAGCTATGTGGGATGTGTGAGAGATGTGTGATCGATGTCAGAGAGATGTGTGAGGGATGTGTGAGAGATGTGTGAAAGATGTGTGAGAGATGTGTGAGAGATGTGTGAGATATGTGAGAGACTCAGTGAGTGATATGAGGGGTGTGTGGGAAATGTGTGAGAGATGTGTGAGAGCTATGTGAGATGTGTGAGATGTGTGTGAGAGATGTGTGAGAGATGTGTGAAAGATGTGACGATCGGAATGGAGAAAGATGACCTCGAGTAAGTAATTTATGTAAAAAGGGAGCGTTTGGGGAGCGACGGGGCTGAATTTGGAAGCGAAGTTTTGATATACCTAGTCTTAACGCTAGCTCGGTTAGCTACTGCCCGTCTGCTACCGTTAGCTACCTTGCCGGTTCTCGTAATTTTCCGACAGGTGATCTGAAAGGTAACAAAAGAAGGCAGGGCAATAATACAACAAAATGCAGTTAGCTAAATTGGTCGGTCTCGCCTGCGTACTCCTATGCTTGTATGCTCTTGTCCCATTGCGAGTTGTGAATGACAGCATCCAAAGTCCAGATATTGTCACTTGTTTCACTCTCAGATGCTCATTGCTCATGGCATTCGGCGCAATATGCGGCCAGTGATGTTCCGTTCTGTGTACACACTCAGCAGACTGTGACGACAGAGCACGGCCAGACCGCGTGTCAATGTTACTTTACTTCAGTTAGGACCGAAAGCCTGGGCCAGGCCCTAACCTCCCACTTGTAAACACGATGACGAGACTGGCTAAGAAAACGCTCGGTTAGCTACATAAGCGAATGCAAACCGATGATAGAGCTGCATTGCGGATGTCTGGGCGCGGCTTTCTTCTCAAACGGCGCTGATCACCATGGCTGACCCGGCGATCTGCTTTTTGTGCTGTTTTTCCTTCATCTTGTGGTATGTTTGTACGTCCCCGACTAATAACGATTTAAAGACAGATGATTGACGAAGATGATGTTTTCTACTAAATACGGTTTAGATACTACATACATATCCGGGTTACGGAAAACTGTCAAATGATATATATGCGACATAGGATTTAAAGGGACCCTCCCACCTTAACATTAGATTTGAGTTGAGATAGCCAAAATGGGGTCCCTGGCTCACAATTACCGGTTTCGACACTCACAACATCGAGAAATGCCTTAAATCGGAAATATTGAATTTCAAAATTGCAGCATTTTGATTCAGAGGGGCTAATGCATAGGAATACCCCTCTGAATGTGTGACGTCAGCGCAGATATCTAACGATTTTTAAATGTTTGACTAAAACGTTTTGTAGCACGCGGTGGTATATGCTGCTTTGCGCGCAACAAGTGCCGCACTTTCAGCTGCCAAACTATTGCTTCCAAATAAAGTCGCTAGGAACAGCGGAGATCCCAAAAAGTAAACAAAAGTAAAAGTCTAATATCTTGAAAACCGGTGAATATTTTTCGGTGAAAGTTGGTAGATATTCGTTTTCGCTCTTTCTGAACCGAGCGACATCAATTTAATGCCAATTCATAAACTTTTTTGAAGGTGGAAGGGTCCCTTTAAGGGTCATTTTATTCATAGAATTCAATAGGCATACTCAATGGACCATATTTGGGTGAAGTTTAGGTCGTGGGCAGGTCAATGTGAGGTCAAGTGAGATCAAACTTTGAAGTTTATCGGTAATACTAAAAAAAGGTGTCTATCTGATGCAAATCTCGCAAATCTAATGGTGCTATATTTTTGTTTCTGTACGAGGTTCACAGCTTCAAAACGTTTGAAAATTTGGTGCGTCGTGACATACTTAAAATTTAAATAACTCGTAAATCTTTAGCCGATTTTTCTAAAAGTTAGAACATAGGTACAGTCGTGTACAGGTTGATGGTCCGCCACTCTTTATCCACCGGGTTCCTGTGGCTCAGCATTGGCAGCAGCCGCCTGGTACCGGTAGGCTGTGCCGCATGACCCGAGAGTGAAGCGGCACAGCCTACCCACACTGTATGACACCGGCTCGGGTCGCCTGGTAGAGCGATTTGACCGGACGCTGCGTTACACCGGCTGGGGGGAGGGGGGGGGTAAGGGTCAGGCCTGTCTATTTGGCTCGGCTCGGTGGATGAGGCGGGCTGGAGTGTGGTGTAGGGCGGGGGTGATGTGGGGAGGGAGTGAGTGGACCTGGGGCTGGGTGTGTGTGGTCACTTGTCGCATAGAACCGATCGAAATCCACCCTCCACAAATTCGTTTTAGAGATATTCACAAAACCCAGGGGGGTTCAAACACCCATCTCCCAAGTGGAGTGCGGAAGGACAGGTAAGGGTCCATATGGCCTCCTCATGAATTGCAGCAAAGAAAGAAAACAGACCTGTCACCAAATAATCTTTCTGAAAAAGTGGAATAATCGCATAGCCTCGGACACAGAAATAAACATCCGGCACGCGAAGCGTCTCGAACCGGGCCTCTCACTACCGGTCAGTTTGACAGTCTAGCACTCTTACGCTGAGCTACACCGGATGGTGGCAACGGCTGGGGCAAATTCTGGCCGGGCGGGCGGCGGGGCCGGGAGGTTGGCAGCAAAGTCAATGAATGTTTTTGTGGTTCCGGGTGCCGGTCGCTCTAGCTTGGTGAAATGATGGATCATTGGCAAAACTTTCAACGTGGAGTCCCGGTTCGAGCCTCATCGGGGCTCCGGCTACTTTTCCGAGTTAGGATCTGGTTTGATTTTAGTGGTTGCGAGCCATTTATACGGTTTTATATCTACATGTTGATTGTCGATTGATTGATTGATTCATTCATTCGTTCATTTAATACATGTTGACATTTAACATACGAATTGACATCCAGGATCAATCCGATCAATCTACCATTTTCATAAGCGTATTGCCTAAATATCATGCATATATGTGGCACAAGACCTATGGTTGCCTCGATACCGTGCCAAATCACATTTTGCACAATGCACAGCTAAATTATATTCGCTGGGTCTTCCGTGCATTTTGCTTAGCAAAAACAGGAATGCAATTGTTAAGCGACGCAAAATGTGCAATGCAGCAAGTGACCACACACACCCGCCTAGCCCCCATGGTCCACCAACACGCCCCACACCACTCGCCAGCCCACGCCAACCACCGAGACGAGCCCCTCCCCCCCGCGCTGGTCTGACGCGACAGCTGGTCTACAAAGTACTCCACCCGGCGACCCGAGCCGATGTCAAACGGCGTGGGTAGACTGTGCCGCTTCACTCTCGGGTCATGCGGCACAGCCTACCGGTACCAGGCGGCTGCTGCCAATGCTGAGCCATAGGAACCCGGTGGATAAAGAGTGGGGGACCATCAACCTGTACACGACTGTACACACTCACAGGCAGTACTTGTCTCGCATGAGTACCTGTATTATGGTTTTTCTTCAATAAACCACAGAGTTTGGATTGTTCAACGATTTTCGCAAAAAAAAATCAGTTTTTGAGAAAAACATTGGCTGAAACAAGACATTTCCAAAAATGAGATAGCCATTTTCATAAAGACAAAGTGAAATTACGTAGATGTTTTTTCGTTACGTCTTGATTCCTTGATATAAAACTGAAGATGTTATGGGTGTTTGAAATTTTCAGGTATTTTTTAAGCGAAATGGCGTGGCATGACGTCACTAAAACGTTATTTTCTTAGCAAATTTTAGACGGATTCACTTAAATTTTAAGAGGAAATGTCAAATTAATGTATACTAAGGTAGTTACTAAGAGTTTGGCGTTTTTGGCTGAACGCGCTTAGGGGCTATTGGCGAAAAACGGGAGGGGGCAGATTCTGCCCTCCCCCAGCGGGGCGCGGGTTATTACTACCGTATCCATCTCAGCTCATTCAGTGTCTCTGAGAGTGGTCAGCTGGCACATCAACCCGCCATTGATTATCGACCCCGGTGCCGCGGGCGGAGCCTTGACCTTGACCCGGCATTGGCCGTCCAGTCAATGCCACCACAGCTGGCTCGGTGCCAGGGGCTCCTGTTCCATACGAGTATGGGTCGAGTTGGGTGGTGCTGGGGTCCGGCCCAACTGTGTGTAATTTTATAAGTACACATAACCTCGTCATATGTAAACAATAACATACACATAAATCATAATTAAGATATTTTTTGTAAAGGCATGCATATGTTGTGTTACAAACAGAAAGATATATGACAATATCCTCTTTTTATGATCGAACACAAAATTTGGTAGTGGATTCAGCCCAGCCTTTCGACTGCATCTTGTATACTTTGATATGTAAACTTCGGTAATTAAGGCTTATGTGGTTGTCGACAACACTTTCCCGCTATCCGTATCTGACGTGCTGCGAGCCAAATGCACAGTGGATACCGACGGTGTAATTTATAAGGCTGATATCAGTTGCACGATACTGAGCCGATAGCCCAGTTGCGCAGCTGAGGTCTGAGGTGCAACACAACACTGGGCTGTAAAAGTTATAAATCGCGGTATTGTTGAGGCATACGGGTATATCGTCGGAGCTTTGGCTGTAAATAAAGTATGCCCGAGAGCCAAATTATGGTCATAGTGAATTAGGGATACCAAAAGGCTTTGCTTTGTCTGTCTTCATTGATGATGGGAATCATTAGTACTCATGACAAATAAGCTTGGTTCAATTTAGGGCAAATATTTCGTCAATCATACTTAGTTCCTTTCACTATATAATATTAGCTGCAACGTGTTTTATATTTATTTCCAAGTGTATTGTACTTACAAGTTACAACGCTTTTTGCTTATGCAATTGCAAGCAATGCCTATGAAATGCCCTAATACCAAATGCCCGAAAAAAAGGAATATTGCGCAGTCTGTCGACCGTCAATGAACAATCATATTGCTGATCGTGGACAAAAATATATTTTTTTTGTATCATGATAAGTGTTGCCATTTCTTGTATTGCTTTTGTTCATTATTTTATCATTAGCCTGACTGAGGTCATAAGTCATGCTGTTTACATGTCTGCCCACATAAAAAAGACATGGGGCTGGAAACATGCCAACAGTCAACCATTAGTCTCTGGCTGAGAACAGTCGAATGAATTTATAATAGTATAATAATGCAGTTACTTTTTATGTTACTATTAGAGGTTTTCCTACCTAACTAAGTGCGTCTTGGCCATGGTAAATGTGTAGTTATAGAAAAGTTAGAACAAATATTTTTTAATGACTGTTATAGTCATTTTACCAACCGGGGACGGCCAAGCCGAGAATAGAGACCAGATTGTTACATAATCATTTTAATAGTCGAAGTTATTTTTCATTGCCTACGGTAAAAGAATGGCGCTTTTCACTTACCTACCGATTTCTTTTTTATCCATCATCTATTTTTGCCGAATTTAGAACGACCTCTTGAGGTCACTCCCCCGCCCCATCACCCGCGGATGACCGGTCGCGTGCCAGCTTGATAGTCTCGGGCGACACTCGGGGGGTGGCGCCCTTGGCCATGGACTCGGTATGTGGCCGGTGGGCGGCCGACGCCAATCGGTACCGGTGCCAGGCCCGTGACGCGAGGCGGCGCTCTTCAGCCGGCCGCTCGGCGCGAGGCGCGGCGGCTCGGACTCTGAGCTGGCACGGCGCAGGGTCTTAGTGGGGTGGTGAGGGAGGGGAGGGGAGGGGACGGTGGGACGGTTTAGGGTGGCAGCGATGACACACAGCTCTGGGACCGGGACGCGAATGTGGCCCTGGTGACGAATAAGTTGGCACCTCCACAAGGTGAAGCGCGCCGTTTTAGCGCGCCCTTTCGGCACGCGCGCAAAAAAGCGCCGTTCGGGCTAAGGTGCCTGCCAATGACAGTTCGGTGACTGCCGCGTGGTAACAATTCAGGGCGGCCCTGAGTTCTCACAGCTGTGCCAATACATAGCTATATTTTTGAGAAATCCACTTCCTGGAGAGTATTTCTGCGTAGGCGTCTGAACACTGACCGCCTGGCGGCGTTCATCAGTAGCGCCTTCATTGTGTTGGATGAATTGATGATGAGTTTTCCTGATGGATGGGGTACAGGAAGCTTTTACCTAAAACTCTTCAATCAATGCACACCGTTTAAACACAGGAAAACAAGCATTTAGCCTGTTGTATGCCTGGTAAAACTCAAGCTGACATAATGTCAAAACAATGTTACCACTTTCGGGTAGTGACGTATTGTAACTGTCGTTGCAACCATCAACGACGCAATTACTTGTGCCGACTGCCGATTGCATAAACAGTAAACACGTCTTTGAAACAATTGGTCTGTTAAACGTTTGTAAACGGACATTTTATGGAACGGCGGAACATTTTTGGGCGGTCATGATTGTCTCTGAAGTCTGAACAGAAACATAAGCTTATATCAAATTACTTGAATTTTGATTTTAAAAAAAAAATTCGAGCGGCAATTGCTCCAAAACAACGCAGATCAACATGGGGAAGCGTCTACCACTGCAAAAGCAAAAGCTGGATTTCCCGAGTAGTTTCATATAGGTGAGCCTGTTGGGTTCTACGGGAATTTAGCCGTATAGCTGTCCCACTATCGATTGTCTGCTCAAACAATACCAAATACCCATTGGGGTTTTAGGCGATCATTTGAACAAGAACAGAGAATAATAATCAACCAAGCGCAAGTCGCACCGTTCCCAAAAGCTGGAACATACAAAATGGCGAAATTTGATGTCCATCGTCCAATCCTTTGTAAAGCCTTTAAATATACGTATCTTCACAAAACTGAAATTGGCGCTTCTCTTAGACTTGTGAGTCTCTACGGCAAAAAGCGATGTGAACATATGTTTGTGGTGGTTCATAATCGGATTTCATCAGACTTAACACGCTTGGTGTGTGGCGTGCACACCTGGAGAATTGCGAACAGCTGAACATTCCTGGTGGGTTTAATGCTACGCCGGACTGACGCAGACCTCAACACGCTGCGCTCTCGTGTCTCGGCAAGCATGGTTAGTTTATCTGTTGGTTATGTTTCTGGTGAGCACGTTGACGTTTACCTGGTAAGTAGGTACTCATGTCAGAGTCATAACATGGAGTAGTTACTGCGAAATAAAGATCTGTTCCGTTGAAAGGAGAGCCGAGTTCAGAATCACAAGATAGAAATGACGCAAAAAGTGAGAGATGCCCTATCTCCGTGTCTATTTATTCGCTTACATGCTCACAAGCGATTCAGCCTTTATTAACGAATATGTTAAACAGACAAACGTACCTAAAAAGTGACACCATTTTGTCATAACACAGCTTTATTCTGCATATCCTTTTGTAGCGCTCTGGTGATATGGAGAGCCTTACGATGACCGTTAGAACATGTCAAGATGATGACAGCATGTGTTAGGAACATACTCACAAATGCGAGCATTGCATCAACGGATTATAACCCTGGGAACTTACTAAATGCCAGCTGCCAATGCGATTATTTCCGAATTTCTTCCACGAAGGCCAAAGCTGTATCTTAGCTGTTGTAAGTAAGATACAGCTTTGTCTGCATACCAGCCCAGTGTAAGTACTAACGGCACCTTGTTTAGGATGTAGTTTTCTGTGACTAGCACCGTGAATAAAAATGAGTAAAACTTCAATCCCCTCCTCACAAGACACAACGAATGCAGCCACGAGCAGACCGATTACCGATACCAGTACTGGTGGGAGCTACCAGGCCATGCCACCGCAGTGACCTGGTGGCCGTAAACATTCGCCGTATCCGGTCTAGGGAGGGATCTGTCGCGATCTTGTCGCCTGTCTCAAGAGAAAGGTCGAGCCTCTGTGTTGTGTCGTCGTTATGTTCCCCCAGACGTTCCTGATCGACTGTCCCAGACAGATGATTAGCCCTGAACCCACACTGCTACTGACGCGACAAATACCGATCAAGTCCGCACTGACCTACCATTTGTTTTTCTGCTTCATATCGACCTCTGTCGCTGGACAGTATCGCCGGCCGGCCGTCGTTCTCACCCCTCCCCCCTCCCCCCTGTCGTCAGTTCGAGGCGCTGCTGGTGACCTACGGGCTGCTGCTTGGCACCGGTGCCTCGCTGGTCTACACCCCCTCACTGGTGGTGCTCGGACACTACTTCGAGCGCCGGCTGGGCCTGGTGAACGGGCTCTGCGCCATGGGATCGTCCATCTTCACCGTCATCATGCCCTTCGTCATGACGTCCCTGCTGGGCTCGGTCGGCATCAAGGGCACACTGCTCGTCCTGGCAGGTCAGTCAGGGATGGAGGGTATTATTGGTCGTATGGATTATTGTTGGGAGTTAATTGAGAGTCTCTGACCTCTCACGACCTCTCATTAAGGAATCTGCGTAAGTATGCGCATCATTGTCGTGTGCGTATTCAGTGTCAGTGTATTTATCTGCGAGCCAGCCCCGCGGCACGATCCACGCATCTCCTGATGATGATGATGATGTTCCTCCCGGCCCCAGCTATTGCCGGGGCGTAGCCGATCGGCTCTGGAATGAGCGAAAGCCGGCGGCAAAGGCCGCCACCACGTCGTCCCGTCGTAGGTCAGGTGGTCGACCGTGCATGTTTCCCAGCGCGTGGAGGCGCGTGCCGCACAGGCACGGGCAGCGAAGCAGCACGTGTCGCGGCGTATCCGCCTCCTCGCCGCACACCAGGCATCGAGCCGCTGGGCACTCGGTGTCGGCGCAGCCCTGACAGGTGTCAGTTGGGCGGCGTCCGATGCGGTGCAGGTACTGGGCCGACTGGCTCCAGTGTCCCGCCCGCAGCTGATGTGTGTCAACCGCGGCCATCCGGTTGTCACCGCTGACCGGTCCCGGTAGATGTTCTTCACCGAATATTTCCTTGTACCAGCCGTCTGGCCATGCACGTTGCCACTGGCGCCGGGCAGACCTGGCGGCGGCGCGGGTGGCGCTCCTGGTGTCAATAGGGGCATTTGACTGGTCCATGCCTGCGGCCTCCTTTGCGATTGCATCGGCGCGCTCGTTGCCGGCCAGGCCACAGTGGGCGGGCACCCACTGGAGGTGCACCGGTCGACCGCGCTCCACCAGTAGCAGCAGCTGCTGCCAGATGGTGGCTCCCAGCTGGGTAGTCTGGGCTGCGGGACCGCTCTCCAGTGTCATCAGCGCCGCACGGGAGTCTAGGCAGGCTATGATTGGGTCGTCACCGCCGGCGGGGGCGGCGTCCTCTTGCTCGATCTCCACGATCTTTGCGAGCGCGTCTCGGAGTGCAACCAGCTCCGCTCTTGTGCTCGAACAGTAGACGCCTGCTGGGGTTCTGACCTCTTCCGTGTTGCCGTTCGGGAGGGTGATGTGGGCGCCTCCTCCGCCCGATGTCACTCCTCCTGTCGCTGATCCGTCCGACCATATCCAGATCGCGCGCTCCGCCCCCGGGAGCTTCTCTAGTAGGTCCTCTGCCGCGGTTCTCCGGGACTCATCTGATCTGCCTCTTGCGCATGCGGGTCCAGCGGTGGGGGCGATGGAGACTCCTTCCGTAGGAGTCCACGGAGGGAGAGTTGCCGCAAGGCTGGGCTCGACTGGAACATCCAGCGCTCCCAGGTCGCGTAGGGTGTTGCGCCCCAGCTCGCGCCAGCCGCGAACGGCGGAGAGGCGGGAGTGCTGTGTCGCGGTGGCCACGGCTCTCAGTGGGTCGTCTGGAGGCAGCGAGGCTGCTCTCATCACCATTCTCGTGGCTAGAGTGGTGCGTCGCATCTCTGCCGTGGCCATGCCGGCCTCCGCCATCAGGCCGTGCGTCGGCGTCGACATGGGACAGCCGGTGACTGCCCTGGCCGCCGCGCGCAGTTCCCGATCGACCAGCTCCACGTGGGACGGGGAGGCCGCCGGCAGCCAGGCTGCTGCAGCGTACTCTAACGCGCCGCGAACATAGCCGTTGGCTACTGTGCGCAGGTGATGCTCTCGTAGTCCCCATGAGTGGCCGGTGAGCTTCCTCAACTGTGCTGTGCGTGGGCGGACCTTGCGGCGCAGGCTGGCGCAGTGCTCGCCGAAGTGGAGGAGGCGGTCTAGCGTCACTCCCAGCAGCTTGACATGAGATGTTGCGGTGACGTCCGATCCTGCGACCTTGAGCGTGACATTCTTGGCGTCAGGGGCCCACTGAGACAGAACCAGGATTTGGGTTTTGTGGCCGGCGATGTTCATCTTGTTCTTGGTCGCCCATCTCGCCATCATGTCTGCCGATTGCTGTGCTCGGGACAGAGCCATCTGGATGTTCGGGCCGGCGCTCACTGTGGCGGTGTCGTCTGCGTACATGTAGCAGTCCGTGCGGGGCACCTTGCGCAGCTCCTCGATGAGGTCGGCGGCCCAGAGCGTGTATAGGGTCGGCGCGAGCACGGATCCCTGCGGCAGGCCGGCTCTGAAGGGCCTGTCCCGGCTGCGAACGCCGTTTACCTCCACGCAGGCTCGGCGATCCCTGAGCAGCTGGAAGATCCAGGTGACGAGGCATTTAGGTAGGTGTCTCAGCAGTTTGTTCTGGAGCATCTTGTGGTCGATGGTATCATATGCTCGCGCGAAATCGTAGGCGACGAGCACAAACTTGTCTGCAGTGATGCCGTCCTTTGGGCGGCCGCGAGCCTTCGGCTTGTTCCAGCCATCTTGTACCGACTGGATCAGCCGGCTCAGGTTATCTTCAGCGGCGCGGCCACGGCGGAAACCCACCTGCTCTGGCGGGATCAGACAGTGCATCTCGCAGAGGTGCGTGAGACGGGCGGCCACCATCCGTTCGGCGAGCTTAGCCACAGTGCTCGTCAGGGCGATTGGACGATAGCTGGAGACGTCCTTGGGGTTCTTCCCTGGCTTCGGGATCGGGATGATAGTAGCCCGTTTCCAGCTTGCCGGGATCGCGCCCTTTGTCCAGGTCGGGTTGATCAGATGGAGCAGCGTCTCGCGCGCTCTGGGGCCCAGGTGCTGCAGGTGCTCCGCGCATACTTGGTCCGGACCCGGCGCCTTCCGCGACTTCATCTTCTTCATCTGGGCGTTCATCTCTTGCATAGAGAAAGGCTGGCAGGCGTCTGTCCTGTTATTACCACAGGAGCAGGGGGCCCGCCGACGTCCTTTCAACTCCGCCTTGGTGCGCCTGTCCCACTTCTTGCTGCGCACGTGCTTGCTGACAGCAGCGTACGTTGCGACAAATGCCTCGGCCTTGCTACGGTCCTCCACGGCCTCGCGGCCGCGGTCCCCGTTGATAGCTTGGCCAGGGGCAGTTGACTGTACACCGCCCTCCATCTTGCGGAGCAACTTGGTGATACGGCCCAGGTTCGCATGTTGGTTGAGCTCTTCTGTGGCGAACGTCCGGAACGCTCTCTTCCTCGCTTCCTCTTCGGTCTCCGCGGCCTTCTTCTTGGCGCGTTTCCACGCCTCGCGGTTCTCCGGTGTGGGCGACTGATCGAGGGCAGCCCTCGCCTCTCGTCGCTCCGCCACGGCACGCTCCAGCTCCGGGTCCAGCGCCCATGGCTTCGGGTCGGCCCTGGCACCTCTGGGTATGTGTTTCGCGCTGGCTTGCATGATGGCGTCTGTGAGGCGGTTGCTCAGCTGATCGACGGTCAGATGAGCAGGCGCGGCGGCTGTGAGTGCAGTCTCGCAGTCTTGGGTGTACGCCGTCCAGCTCGCCTTCCGGAACGACCATCGGGTCTTCCGGATCCGTCGAGGCCGGCACCCGCTGACGGTGACTGTCATCACCTGTGGCAGGTGGTCACTGCCCAGATCATCACCGGTACGCCAGGTGCAGCGTCTTGCCAGGTCTCGGTGTGCCATGGACACGTCCGGTGCAGTCGGCGGGCCGGTTCCGTAACCAGAGCGGGTGGCAGCTCCGGAGTTGAGGGCCTCCCATCCATTGGTCTCCATCCAGTATCTCCTCCAGTATCTCCACGCATCTCCTCGCGCGGGTGGCAATACGCTCAATTGTTTGTCAATCACGCAATGGGTTTCATCCGCACGCGCAAATAGACAAGGTGCCTGCGCACAGTGCGCAGAGGCAGCAGTGCGGGCCGCGTCGTTAGCGTGGGTTGTAAGTTGTAACGTGCAGCGTTTGTAATGCTCTCGGACTTATTTTCATGTCCTCGGTCGGTCTCGTCCCGTGCTTTTTGTTCTGAACTTACAACAGCATTTGGAGGTTAAAATTCTGACGATCGTCCCCATCCACTGTCGTGGGGCTACCCTGACCTGACATCACCTCCACAGCCCACACAAGGGTGATGGGTAGTTTGAATCGATCTCCCCCTTCCACAAATGGATCCTGGGCGCTATGAGCCGACCTCTTCCCCCTCACAGAGGTGGAAGCTCCGACCTTACCCCACTGGCAACGCTGGGTAAGTCGGAGAGCTGACCTAACTGCAGAGCTGGCGGACGCTCCGACCCGACCTCAGCCCTAGACATAGTGTTGTCTCTCAGACCTAGCATGTCCCTTCCTCTCCTCACAGGCCTGGTGGGCGCTCTGGTGCCCCTGGTGCTCCTGTTCCGCGCTCAGCACGCGCACGGCGGACCGACGGGTGACCCGCGCCCCAGCTGCTCGCCGGCATGGATCTGTAGTCAGCTCATCAACGTTCACATCTGGCGCAACCGTCGCTACCTGGTCTGGTCCATCGCCGTGCCGCTGGGCCTGTTCGGCTACTTCGTGCCCTATGTGCACCTGGTGAGTTCCAGAGGCTGATTTGGTAACGGAGGTTAGTACCTAGGAGTGTCGATGTTACTTTTTACTTTAGACGGAACTTATGTGAAAATAAGATGTTGGGTAGAATAATTAGCGAGAATGCCATTATCCCTCGCCCGCACATGCCATTTTCCCATCCTAGAACGCACATGGGGGGGGGGGGGGGGTGGTTGCCACCCCCCGCGCCATTTCGTTCCTGTTGGAGATAGAGCTTAGCAGTAAAGACCAAAAAGATTCTTTGGGAAGAGCCGAATCCAATGATACCCAGTTTTACCTTCTCAGGTCAGTCATTGACCTTCCAGGTCAGGTCAAACTAAAAAATGTTGCTGTTTTGGGTCACCGTTGGATATCAAGTGTGCTGCTTATCAAATACCGATGACGATGCTGTTTTCTGGTGCCAAGCCAGCTAGAACCTCTTTGTCACACTACCCGACCAGAATTTTGCTGCTGAGGTCATTTCAGGTCAAGTTAGGTCAAGGTCAATTATATGTGTTTGTATGTCTGTGTGTGTCTGTGTGTATACTGATGTGTGCGCTGATTGTTTTTGGGTCCATATTACATGAAATCATGATCTGAGAAGCTTTTACCAAAAATGCAGTCAAAAAACTACAAAAAAAGTAAATTCAGCTTGCCTAAAACGCAATTATCTTAGGTGACCTAGGTTGACCTTGACCCTGACCTTGACCCCTGTACATCGTCGAACAACATGTTCCATGATAGGTAGGAGGTACCTAAGACTGGCAAAAAAGGCCGAAATCAGGGTGTCAAAAGCTCATAAGGCCCATGGCCAACGCAAGATGTTGAGAATTGGCCATTTGGGTCATGACATGACCTGAAAAACAAGGTCATATCTCCGAAACCAAAAATCACAGAAACTTGAAATTTTCAGTGGACATCAAGAAAGGATAGAGGAGCAGCTATACGAAAAATCAGCCTTCTAGCTCTAAAAATGTTGAGTGCAGAGCAGAAAGACTACCTGGGGGGGGGGGGGTGGCAACCACCCCCCCCCCATGTGCGGGCGAGGGTTATATCACACGCAGACCTCTATACACCAGTGTTCAAAAATCTACATATGTGTCTATGATGCTCTGCCGTTTCAAACAACGGTGGCGAAGGTTGAATTAACTCGCATTCCGCTGTGGTACGACGGGCGAGCGAGCAAAAGAGCTCATACTTATGTGAAATTAAGATGCTGCGTAAAATAATTAGCGAGAATGCCAGTATGTCACACGCATGACGCAGACCTCTATACACCAGTGTTCAAAAATATATGTGTCTATGGTGCTCTGCCGTTTCAAACAACGGTCGCGAAGGTTGGATTAACTCGCATTCCGCTGTGGTGCGACGGGCGAGCGAGCCAAAGAGCTCATATTGCGACAGGTAGGTATCACACTGGGCGCAAAATCCTGGTGAATGTCTGTTACAGTCGCCATTTCCACTCCAAGATGAAGAGCGCAGATGAGCCGCTGTCAACGAAATGGTTTACCTAATTAGCTTATGGCACACTCCTGAGCACATTTAAAGGGACACTCCCACCTTAACATTAGTTTTGAGTTGAGATAGCCAAATTGGTGGCCATGGCCTGCAAATACCGGTTTGGGCACTCACAACATCGAAAAATGCTTTAATTCGAAGATATGGAATTTCAAACTTGCAGTTTTCGGATTCTAAGGGGCTAATGCATTGGAATGCCCCCTTAGAATTTGTGACGTCAGCGGAGATCTAACGATTTTTAAATCTTAGACTAAAACCATCGTTAACACGTGGTGGTATGCGCTGCTTTGCGCGCAACGTCTGCCGCACTTTAAGGCTGCCAAATTATTGCTTCCAAATAAAGTCGCTAGTAACAGGGGAGATCCCAAAAAGTAAACAAAAGCAAAAGCCTAATATCTTAAAAACCAGTGAATATTTTTCGGTGAAATTTGGTAGATATTCGTTTTCGCTCTTTCTGAGCCATGGGACATCACTTTCATGCCAATTCATTAACTTTTTTGAAGGTGGGAGGGTCCCTTTAACCCGCGCCCTGCTGGGGGTCCTGAATTTCCACGCCCTGCTGGGGGGGGGGGGGTGTTTGAACACACCCCCCCCTTTTAACTCGGCTCCTGGGCAACGTAGCGATACGCGGAAGGTGGTGTTCGAAAGAGCGTAAAAAATAATGACGAAATCACTTCGGTCAATTTTTTGGTCAGGTCAAAGGTCAGGTCACCAGAAGTCATTGAAGGCAAAATTTCGCCGATTTCCAGGTCGAATGTCGAAAATTTCCAAGAAGCCAACGCATAACTCGGGAACCAATAGAGCTACAGCGCCGCGGAAAAGCGCATTCGATAGCCCTATTAACGCCCTTTCTGAATAATGCTCTCAGATTTGACCTAACGTCAACGGTTTTGCCTGCAGGGGGCAAAAACTGCAAAAATAGCCGATTTTTTCGGAAACAGTTTTTCTGCAATAACTTTTGACCCAAGCCTTGTACGAGCTTACTTTTACCGGCATCGTGTTCCTCTCGTCAAGACGCATCGAATGAACTATAACTTGACCTTGAAAGGTCAACTTGAAAATTTGACCTCAGGTCAAGGTCATGACCTGACCGGAAAGGGTCATGTTGCATATCAGTCGATCCGTATCGTCGAGCTGAACACATATAAGGCATTTTCATCGCTCTAGCATGCCTCTATCAAAAGTTCTTTGCGAAAAACTGTTAGATACCATTCGTGACCTAAGATGACCTCAGGGCATAAACAAGGGTCACGGACACCATTTTCATGTTCAGTGTGTCTAAACCACTTGTAATTCGGTGTTTGGGAGTGTTTATAATGTCTTTCGTCCAAAAGAGGAGCATTTCAATTTTCTCCGATTGACTTATAATGGGGAGGTCGCAAAATTGACCTAACCTCAGGTCATCGATATCAAAATTCTGAGATATAAATTTTGTACATGCTATTGCTCTTAGCAATCGCTGAAAGTTTCAAAGCAATCGGTCTCTCGGTGTAGCTATGACAGACATTGAAACTTTTTATGAGGTGAGGTCACTTCAAGTGACCTGGTGACCTGACCTTGAATGACCTTGGTCTGAAATTTTCACAACATGTGTAGAATTGATGTATGATAAGGTGTACCAAAAACGGTGGCGCTCCGCGCCGCCGTTTTTGAGATATTCCCGAAAAACCACAAAGGGGGGTGTTCAAACACCCCCCCCCCCCAGCAGGGCGCGGGTTAAGCTCTTGAGCGCTTCAGAGCTGCATGCCATGTCATGTATACTATGCCGTATTAAGTTGATGTAACTTAACATGGAGCGTGAGCATTTGTCGAGGTCGAGTTGTTTACTTTGTTAGTTTTCTAGTAGGCAATTCAAAATATGTAAGGAGGATGATCCTGATGATTTTGCTTGGAGTTATGACCTCTTACACTAGCAACGCGCTTGAATTCTCAGGAGATTTTATCGTTTCTCTCCAGGATCTTGTCTGTTGCCAGTTGCTGACAGATGACTGCCTCGAAAATGGCCCTCTACCAATAGAATATGTAACCAAAGTTAAACTTGTTACTTTTTAAAGACGGTCTGTGTAGATTTTTTCTTGTGATACATTCATGTAAACGGCGTCAGTCGATGGTGGATCGAGGGGGGGGGGGGGCATTTAGCCTGAAATCGATGAAAATTTGTCGTTTTTTCTAGAATAGAAATACCTACAATTTTTTTACGATAAAATGTTTTCTTTAAATTGTCAAGCAGTGCGTAAAGGAATCGAAATGCAAGGAGTTTCTTGAGTTTAAAGAACCTTTTTGGGGTATGCCCCCCCCCCGCAGCGTCCGAGAACGCCTTTCTGGATCCGCCTGTGGCGTCAGTTGTGTAGCCAATGCACGTTCTTGAGATCAAACGTTCCCAAACTATTTTGCGTTTTACATTATTTAATTATTTTAATGTTATTTATTTAACAAGTTATGATTCCTTTCATATCAGTTAGGCTGGCTACTTTTTTCATAACGTTTTTTTGTGTGGTTGGAGTAGCTTAGGACGATTTTAGGTTCAAAATAACCGCAGGCGGAGATATTTGAGCTTGTGAATTTGGCCGCATAGGTATCGACTTCCGTCAAAATTGTTGATATAGGTATATACGGCGGTTTGAAGCCCTTCGCCAATTGAAATGGAAACAAAACCCTTCTACTATCTAGACAGACGCCGTAATATTAGCTTTCAATCATCACGTCGGCATCGACATCCTAAATTCCTCTGCGGAAAACTATTCCTTTGTCTCCCCCTGTTCAGCGGGATCAGAGCTAATTTCTACGAAACGGTACCGTGAGTGCACTCGAGTCGTCTGGTCGGCTCAGCCCGGCCTTTGTTGGGGTGCTCGCTTGTCGGCGTGACGCGGAGTTCTGTAATGCCCCGGATAAGCTGCGATGATGGGGGTGATAGTCGGTCCGGTGCTTCAGCGGTGACGGAGTGTTCACTTTGTCAGCTACGTGGGCTTCTCTTATGTAACCACAGTGTCCTGGAGACTACTTCTTTCGTACAAATTCACCAGTCAGGAGTAGAAGCTTTAGATCAATTAACTTATGTTATTTTCTCGAGTTATATAGAACGTCTTTATGATCTTGTTCCGTGAATGCACCTTTGTGATGCGACGTGCCTACTAAGAATGATATGTGATTTTTGAAGGTGACCCACAAAGCGCTCTTGAGACTCCAGCGAATCATATCCCGCGCCCGGCTGGGGGTCCTGGATTTCCACGCCCTGCTGGGGGGGGGGTGTTTGAACACCCCCCCTTGTAACTCGGCTCCTGGGCCACGTAGCGATACGCGGAAGGCGGCGTTCGAAAGAGCGTCAAAAATAATGACGAAATCATTTTGGTCAATTTTTTGGTCAGGTCAAAGGTCAGGTCACCAGAGGTCATTGAAGGCAAAATTTCGCCGATTTCCAGGTCGAATGTCGAAAATTTCCAAGAAGCCAACGCATAACTCGGGAACCAATAGAGCTACAGCGCCGCGGAAAAGCGCATTCGATAGCCCTATTAACTCCCTTTCTGAGTAATTCTCTCAGATTTGACCTAACGTCAACGGTTTTGCCTGCAGGGGGCAAAAACTGCAAAAATAGCCGATTTTTTCGGAAAGTTTTTCTGCAATAACTTTTGGCCCAAGCCCTGTACGAGCTTACTTTTACCGGCTTCGTGTTCCTCTCGTCAAGACGCATCGAATGAACTATAAGTTGACCTTGAAAGGTCAACTTGAAAATTTGACCTCAGGTCAAGGTCATGACCTGACCGGAAAGGGTCATGTTGCATATCAGTCGATCCGTATCGTCGAGCTGAACACATCTAAGGCGTTTTCATCGCTCTAGCATGCCTCTATCAAAAGTTATTTGCGAAAAACTGTTAGATACCATTCGTGACCTAAGATGACCTCAGGGCATAAACAAGGGTCACGGACACCATTTTCATGTTCAGTGTGTCTAAACCACTTGTAATTCGGTGTTTGGGAGTGTTTATAATGTCGTTCATCCAAAAGAGGCGCATTTCAATTTTCTCCCATTGACTTATAATGGGGAGGTCGCAAAATTGACCTGACCTTAGGTCATCGATATCAAAATTCTGAGATATACATTTTGTACATGCTATTGCTCTTAGCAATCGCTGAAAGTTTCAAAGCGATCGGTCACTCGGTGTAGCTATGACAGACATTGAAACTTTTTATGAGGTGAGGTCACTTCAAGTGACCTGGTGACCTGACCTTGAATGACCTTGGTCTGAAATTTTCACAACATGTGTAGAATTGATGTATGATAAGGTGTACCAAAAACGGCGGCGCTCCGCGCCGCCGTTTTTGAGATATTCGCGAAAAACCGCAAGGGGGGGGTGTTCAAACACCCCCCCAGCAGGGCGCGGGATATTGAATTTGGTCACAAGCTGAAAAAAAACAAAGCCGCGTCTTATGCTGCTTTAGCGATCTTGCTAACCACGTGACGGCCAGTCTGCATCCACTCGATATCGCATTACCAAACTAGCGTATCCCTCTCCTGTGATAACCAAAGTGACAACAATGACATCAGTTGGACCTTGCAATTTGATGTTTATTCTTAGTCAAAAGCAATCTACATAAACACATAGAAAGAAGGGTGTACATACTGCATAGTGCGATAACATTTCCTCGCGAAGAGCTGGTTACCTGATGACCTCAGTGCTGAGCCTGACCCTTCCGTTGACCTGTTGTGACCCGTGCCCGCCTCAGGTGCAGTACGTGCGCCAGTCGTTTCCGGCGTGGGACGGCACGTGGCTCGTGCCGTGTCTGGGTGCCACGTCCGGCCTGGGACGGCTGGTGTTCGGTAGGATAGCCGACATGCCGCGCTTCAACAAGATCGTCCTCCAACAGGTGAGGGTATGGCCAGAGAATCGTGGAGCAGCAACGGCGCCCATTTTCGAATTTGGATTCTTGTAGGCATACCATTTTATTTCGATATTCGTATAAAATCAATGCTATTGTATGTACCTGCCAGTTACTGTGTGGCCGCCGCTGAAAGCTCTGAAATCCCTGGGCTTAGGTTTGGCCTGATCGGTTTCTGATACCAGCGGCTCGACCGTGTCTGGATGCTGGAATACCCTAAATCCAAGAGCGAATCAGACAGCCGAGCCGTGTATAGGTTGGATTCGGCTGTACACTGTAAAAAATGTTAGCACAGTTTGAGTTTTCTGACTCACTTTAACGATGTGTTCAAACAAGTAACTTGCTAATGAATCCGTATTTATCGAGTAATTTAAACCTTATTGCGAAGCAAAACACGTTAGTCCAAATCAGGATGAACTAGCTCGGAATCCCCATGTACAATGACAGTGTTCGAGTAATCGCCATGTATTCATACCCGCAATTGGCGGACACTGTGTTCCGAAACACGAATACGATTTTGTGGAAGCATCTTTGCGCACGGTTCTACCGTGTTGAATGCAGGGGCGGCGGATTCGGGGGGGCAGGGGGGGGGGCAGCTGCCCCCCCTGGCAAACTCGTGGGGGGCAAAAGTATCTTTTTGCCCCCCCATAATTTGTGACAAAGTTTAGACAAGAAACCACATAGCTGATTATTCTGTTCGATCATCTGAAGATGTAACCAGATGCCCATATACTTTATCATACGTTGCCTTTCTTAAATGGCAAACGTTCGCGTTCAACTGAAGTTTCCTCTCTTCAACCTAGTTTTGGAGGCATTATAAGCGTCAACGTGACGCAGCGGCAGCCCAGGCCTTCAGTGACCGCTTACAGGGGCGACGGATACGGGGTGGCAGAGGAGGCACCGTCCCCTAGGAAACTTTTGGAGGAGGGGTAAACGTATATTCTTGCCCCTCCATAATTTGTGCCCTAAACATGAGGAAAATTTTCATAGCCTATTGCATATTTTCTATTGCATGTGGTAATTTTCATAACCATATTGCAGCTTTGCGCTCCTACAGTTTGTCCAACGGTGCCTTTTGAATATGTGTAAATGCTAACCATTTCCGCTTTATATCATTTTTTTGTCTTTTCAGATTCGATTTAAATATATTTTAAGTGTGCGAGAGACGCAACTCATACCTTCAGTGGTCGTTTGCCGCTATTTTGTACCTACATAAATGCCAAATCGCAAGCGAGCGGAGACGGAAGGGCTAGCCATTCGCTTGCGGGTAGTTAGGACTGATGAGCGCGCATAATAAGCCACTCCCCTGATTTTTTCGAGCGCAACAGTTTCCAGCGCATAAAATGGTAAACGCCGAGGTCGTACACATTGACCACATTGACCAATGCACGGTATGGTATGACACCCAAAGGCCAGTCATCAGAGATCTGCTTTGGGCATTCGGAGGCTTGTGTGGGGCCAGTGTAAAAACTGGATGTTCACAGTTCAATATCCGCTTTATTTCAGTTTTCACCATTAAAAAAGTAAAAATTAATGTTGGAAACTTTTGAGGGTTAGGGCACTAATCATTAGTGGGCCCCCCTCTGTCGTAAGGCTGGCTATAGAATAAAGAGCATCAAACACGAACAGTAGCGGCGGAACACCTTCAATTAAGGGGGGGGGGGGCACTGCCGACTTTTGGTCCCATTCTTTCCATGCAACGCCCATAGGGCTAACGTTAAAATGCCAAAATCAAAAGGAGGGTGCACGGTGCCCCGGTGCCCTCCCCGTTCCGCCGCCCATGAACACGAAAGCAAAATCTAAGGCATTTTGGGAAAAAATGAGTATGCCCCGCAGCGTCCGATAACTACCACCTTCCAGTGGGTCAAGCCAACGGGGCCCAAGTCTATAATGGCACTTAACGATAGCACTAACCTTGTCTCACTTTTCCTTGAAGTCTGTTCCGAATGGTTTCGGCCACAGACTTGCTGCACTGAGGTCGTTTGATATGTGCAACTGTAATTAAAGCCACCTGAGGCGCCCTGACACCAGGCTGAAGCTGGGTTGGAAATGCTTCGTCTTTGCAGATATCACTGGCCGCTGATTCTCGAGTGCCTGAACCGGTAGATGTCATGGCAAAATTTGGTGTGATAATTTGGACCTTACCGCAGTCAGCGCACCCTAAAGCCCTAATAAAGAAACGCCCCATCCAGAGCTTCTGGATTCTCGTTCCAGTCCACCGTTCCTTCACCCCAGCCCGCCGCCGCGCTCTCTCACCTCAGCCCTCCGTTCCCAGCTTGACGAGCATTTGGGCCTTAGTTAAGCCTTGCTGTAGGCTTACTGTATAAACCCATCGAGACAGCCCGTCTCGGTGAGCTTAGTTGGCGAACTACTGCCTTGGGGAGGGTTTCTGGCGGATCGCTGTCCCAATAGGTTTAGATGCGACCGACTGTCTCTGAATGTTTGAGCGGTCTCCTCCCGCTGTGAGCTAGTTTCAGTTGATATCTGTCTCAGAAATACTTTTTAAAGAAAGTTAAACGAAAATCCAACGTAAAATGAACAGAGGAAATGGTAACGAGTTACCTCATTGAAGAGCAGCGCTCGCCTACTTCAAAAGGTTTGGCACCGTTCTTCAACATCTGATATGCGATCGGGTTATGGCACAATTTTTTCCCATTGGAGCTTTTTTCTAATACAGCAATACGAAATGCGTTACATCGTCCACTGGCGGATCCAGGGAGCGGGCATTTAAAGCAAATATTTACTCCCCTCCCCCTGCCCCTGCATCGCCCGAAATAGACAAAACGTACCTTATGTTTCCTAATAATTACATTTTTATCAGGATTTTTTTTTTTATACTGTTCAGCAGTAATCGAAATCGAAATCCGAGGAGTTTTTGGATTTTGGACACTTTGGGGGGGTATGTCCCCTACAGCGTCGAAAACGCCTTTCTGGATCCGCCTATGACATCATCTCGACTGGGATCTTGCCCCCCCACGCCAAAATCGAATCCGCCGCCACTGGTTGAATGACACGTTGCCGTGTTTTACCCCTCTGCGTCGAGTTTAAAAACCCGAATGGGGTTATTTGGGCCGCGATCTTGAGGGACATTAACACCAATTAACACTGTGGGTTGTTAACTTACTCGGTTCAGTTTCGCGCCAAATGCAGCGCCGCGTGGGCCTCAGTCGCCATCTTTGTGCGATCCAGGGAGGTCGTGTCTGTGCTGCGTGTGACGTCTTGTTGGTAAGTACAAGTGATACTTGCTCCAAATTTTTCTTAGCAATAACATCAGTGATATTAAATGCCTTTTAGGTGTGGTTACATAAATATTATCCGTGTAGCGTGGCGTTATGGATGGAAAGGAGGAGCCCTCGGCCCTGATTCTCATTCTGTCACTCCACCACTGGTGGCTATGTGTGCGTTTGTAAACATGCTACTTACATGAATAATTTTGACTGTACCTTTTCAACTTTTGCTATGTATCTACCAGCTAGTTATAATTAGTCTGCCTGGTTTCTCTCTCTCTCTCTCTCTCTCTCTCTCTCTCTCTCTCTCTCTCTCTCTCTCTCTCTCTCTCTCTCTCTCTCTCTCTCTCTCTCTCTCTCTCTCTCTCTCTCTCTCTCTCTCTTTCCCATGGTATCTCCCTCTGCTTTTCCATTTGTCTGTGGATAAGAAGTAGGTAGACATCTGTTTGGCTGCGAACTGACACAATTTATTTATTTCAGAATATGGCTCAAGATGAGCAGAATGAAGGTCAATCTCGAAGTCCCACAGTCAGAGCTCAAGACTGTCAGGCAGGACTTCATTCCTTGATGAATGCGGCTCAACTGCTAACAGGATAAGAAGGTATTGTCCTATTTCTGCCGATTTATTATTTCACATATCACAAATCACAATTAGTGTCTGCATGGGACTCTGTTGTGTTGTATTTTAGTAGACTAGGATTTTGCCTTCTATAATATGAAGCCGATATTGAAAATTAAAATCACATGTTTAACATATTTATTATCGTCAAAAGCATAACCGATTACCCAAATCCGACGAGAGCCCGGGCGCCCCGGCGCCCCGCTCTACCCCTGCGCTCTCCCTCCCAAGGCCCCTCCCTCCTCTCTCGTCCCGCTCCCGTGGTCAGCTGTCCCGCTGTCCAAGCGCCAGGCCGTTGCCATAGCGACGGCTGACTGCCTCCTCCGGCGGACGGATCCGGACGCCGAAACTCAGCCGTCTGTATTTTGATGTGCATTGGCTATTGGGTTGATCAGGGTTGATGTTGAACGTTACCGATAATAGGTATAAACTATAGAGTCGATGGTGAACTTACCTAATCGCCAAGTATGTGTTAGTTTATAAACGTTGGCCTTTCGTGTAGAGTATAATGGCAGGGAATGGCCATTTAGAGGTCAAGGGACGGTCACTTCAGTAAAGGGTGCAAGCTTAACCCGCGACGCCCGCGACCCGCTGGGGAGTGGGAGGCACCCCTGTTGTTTCTCGCTGATAACTCAAAAACGGCCGCGATTTTTAACTCGCCGATTCTAGTACTTCTCCGGACATCAATTTCACTCAACTCTTGAAAAATGCGTCCTAGGTCACCTCGGGTCATGAGTTATGGGGGTCAAACTGAGGTCATGTTCGGACATTTTCCGTCTAAAAAATAAAAAAGTCGTTCACGGGAATAAATCACAAAATAGATTTTCAATCAAGAGACTCAAAAATCGCACATTAGGTACAAAATGCATGGCAAAGGAAACTGCTGCCACAAAATTTCCGAAAAAAAATATCATGATTTTGATATTTCTACACTCAAAACTCCGCCAGGTTTTTTAATTTAGCGAAGTTAAAAACGGAGCATATGTCGGAGAGATCCTTATTCCTTATTGCCTTTACAGGGTGTCTCAAAAAGTGTCACGGTTTTGAACATCTCCCGTTTCGTAACCATACACATCCTAAAAATTAACAAAATATGTGTGTATAAACTGCCAGTGATATATGTAGTTATTTGCAAGACTAAAAAATAAAAAGCGACTGTTCTTGTGGCGTCCGATTTTTTTTTCAGCACTTGTTAGGTACTGAAAGTAGTCTAGAGTAATATCTACGATACTTGCCCCTCTCTCCCTGACTAAATAGGTATCAACGTTTTGTCGTCTCTTTTAAATGATAAGTCACTTTAGTAATAAAATGTTTGTCATTATAAACTGCTACAATTTGACCTTGCTTGCCGTCCTGTGATGTCATAGGTCAAAGAAAAATGACGTCGAGGAGACGCGTCGAATAACCTATAAGTTGACCCGAAAAGGTCAACTTAAAAATTTGACCTCAGGTCAAGGTCACGGAAAAGGTCATGTTGCATGTCATTCGATTCGTATTGTTAAGCTGAACACATTCCTGGTGTTTTCAGAAACTGTTTGAGACGGTTCGTGACCTGAGATGACCTCAGAGGCATTAAAGGGGTCACAGGTGCAATTTTCTGGTTCATTGTGCCATGTTCATCTGTGTCCCGATGTTTGAGGGTATTTACGGCCAAAAGAAGCGGATTTCAAGTTTCTTCCATTGACTAAAAGTCAGTGGAGGGTCACAAAATCGACCTGACCTTAGGTCACAGATATCAAAATTCCGAGAGATGCAAATTGTTCATACTGACAAGCTCATGCAATAGCATGAGTTTCAAACTTCTGGGATGTACGAATATACTTTAGAAATGACTGAATCACAAAGTTTAAAGAGGCATGATCACTTAACCCGCGCATGACTGGGGTATTTTCCATAACGCGAGTGACTGGGGGGGGCTCTGGAGAGCCCCCCCCCCCCCTCCTATCTCCGAAACTACTGGGCCGATCGTCAAAATTCAAACGGCATCTGATAGCCCTGGAAAAACTGTCGAGCGAAACCTATTTTAATTGACCTCGAGGTCACCGATGACGTCACAGGTCAGGTCAAAGAAAAAACTATCGACATTTTTGCTAGTTCACAATTTAGGCTCTGACCGCCGGACCGCCGGTCAGATCAGGCTCATTTTTGGTTTACGCACTCCTTGACGGATGCCTTAGATACCCTGAGGGTACCGAACTTTTACTTTGAATTTTTAAGGTCAAGGCCAGGTCATCCTAGGTCACGAAAATTGTATATCATGTATCGGTCACGTGACGCAGGTTTTATGGTCCATTTTACTCGTAGCGAATATAGTGTCGTCTGTGTCATTTGAGGTCATTGTCAGCTGAATTTACCGGAGGTCAGGCCACTTTCAGGTCAGAAAAGGTCAAATTTTGAAAATGAAATTTTTCAACAAAAAAGGTGCCTATCAGATGCAGTTTGAGCTCAGGAACACGATGGTGCCAATTATATTGCTGTACGACGTCAAAAACGTACTGAAAAATGGATTTGAAAAACATAAAATTGTAAAATTTTGACAATAATGCAAATAACTTGGCTATTTTTGAAGATATTGGGCTAAAACTTGCAAAGGTAGTTCATCAGGGTGTGTTCTATCACATGTATTCCGGTTTTTGCGAAAAGTCAAAATCTTTTTGAAAAAATCAAAAAATATATTTTTGTAATTGTAAATACATATTTTTCAAAATATTCCAATTTTTCAAAATTCGAGATAGCAGTTTAAAAGCTACGTGTATTTGTAGTCCACTCATGCAAAGAAAATGGATCTAGCTTTAAAACTGAGCTCTTGAGAGCGTTTGCCGTAATTCAGTATTTTGCATGAAAATCGGCCGACATGACGTCACTCTGACGTCATTTACGGTTAAACTATGGTAGCTAGAAAGTTGAAATTTTAACACAAGGTGTCAAATTGATGCCTCTGAGGGTATCGCAAGTTTCGTGTTGATCCGTCAAACAGTTTAGAAGATATTGCTGAAAAACGTGAGGGGGGGCTCTGTAGAGCCCCCCCCCCCAGTCATGCGCGGGTTAACTTGGCCTGTGACCTGACCTTATGTGACCCGGGATCGAAAATATTACTCACGATGTAAAATTGATGTATTATAAGCTATACCAAGTTTCGCAGCGCTGCTCGCCGAGTTTTTTACACTCGCAAAAAAACTGGCAGGTGTGGCCAAAACGCCCCCCCCCCCACCCCACCCCCCACCCGTGCGAAGGTTAGGGTATGTATCATTATGCCGTTCACTCATGCACTTCGTCAATTACTAACATTATTTCTTTCTTATTTCAGACACGGACCGGGAGAAGTTGGACGCTTTTTAGAATTTCCTCTCGTACCGCTAGTGTCATGGGTGGAGGGGAGCGAGGCTGCCATCTCCGAAGACAACACGCCTCTGAGTGTGCGCCTCCTAGTTTGTGCGGCAATGTTCCCCGTGTTCAATGAGAAAATTCAATGCCCCAGCGCTCAGAACTCCCAGCTAGTATTGACGCAAGAGCTCTCCCAAATGTCGACCGGAAAGTCGTTAAAAAATCGTTGCGACGACCGCGGCTCGACAAGCTGAGGACCGCGCCAGTGAATGCATGTGAAACGGCACCTCTACTCTCTCATCGCCAGGCCCAAAGACGTGTTGTTTATAGGTGTCTTTCATAATACTAGTGTTGCTGATCGCGGAGGACCACTGTCCACTGCTCGTCCGCCGTGGCGTTACTTCTGATGAGGCTCAGAGCGCATGTGTATTGTTTACTGTGAACAATCTGTTGAAATATATAATGAGTAGATCTGTACTCTGAGACTTAATGAACTTGGCTAACGAGGATGTGTGTTAAAGCAAAACGAACTGTGTTACACGCCTCAATAATTATGTGGAATGAGTTGTATAAATGTATACTTCATGTCGATTTATTGCGGTTAAAGACGTTACCTCTGTTTAAACGCGGCTGGGCCTGTTACAGCCCCGTTTGCATCAAAGAAGGTACGTCTTTCATCGCAATAAGTCCACATGAATTATATATTCATATATTCATTCAACATGATCATTGAATCGTGTAATGCAGCTCATTTTGCGTTAATATACATTCTAAAAGGAGGTACTGGACGGGAAGTATATGAACACGAACCGAGCTACGAAACACGTCACACGTTTTTGGCGTGCTCAATAACATCTTACACTCCGATATGTTAACACCATTTAGGATTCCGCAGCGATATTAAGCAGAGCACAGTAACACGAGTGTAGCTAATTAACACATTACATGTTTAATGCGAGTATTGTAGCACGCCTTTCGATACACTAGAAAGTCAATGACGAGTTATCAAACTCGTAACACGTCTTTAGCGAGTAGCGGAACACTACAAACGACAGACTTAGAACTCGTTCTAGTGTTACTTAACACGGCCTTTCCGTGTAAGATAACATCACTAAACGTGTAACATCACACGGTTATACCGAGTCGTTTTTGTCCATATAACACGAAACGTGTTATGATTTTTTACAGTGTAGGGTTCGAATCGAGACGCTCTGGATGGTGTCTTTTTGGGTCTTCACAGGTATAAAATCAAATTAAAGTAAGAGAGTGATTTGACGTCATTACGAAACATAGGTACTCACAAGCTGTGAGAACCTGCAGGTTGGAACAACTGCTCTTCTTCAAGGTTTTGCTGCTGTCGGGCCAATGACCTGTGATACAGTGTCACAAAGTACTACCAGCAATGGATTCTGCTGTGTCACGATCGACTCAGGTGTCCCCTCAGGCAGACACAGAGGTCATGACCTCGTAGACGACAGGTCGTGACCCTGCTGACATACGGTCTGCTCTGAGACCGTGAGAATCCCCGCGTCCCAAAGGGACATGCACGATCAATGCGTCGTCAGCAAATTGTGACACAACCCATCACTAATGAACAAATGTAACGTTATACGTACAACGCAAAGTGTCAGGGGATCTATCATCGCCGAAGAGACGGGCTCAGGTCGAACGGATCAGTCATCGGAGTGACATGGCACAGGCCAGACCCCTCCGGTGCAGCTGCACCAGTGTTACAAAAGTGTCGTAAGTCAGGCCGGGAGGTCGAGACAATGGGAGATGCAAGGTCAGCATCCAGACCAGTTGCACATCGTGTTCGACACCTCAGTATGTGCCACGACAGCTGCAGTTTGTTTGGAGAGAGACAAGAATGAAGATGCCAATCATACAAGTTGCCTATAGTTCGAGTTGAACGGTTCACCGTGCGGCGTTCCCGGCTTCCGATAGATGTCGTTTCAATATACGAGTAGCATTTATTTTCATCTATTGACCTATTTTTATCATTGACTTCACCTGTCATTGGGAATATCCCCTTCGTTGATGCGTGAATAAATAGGGAGATGAAATGAAATCGTCATGTACCGTTCTCTGAATCTACCAAATGTCGTTCCCGTGTGGTCTGCCGCTCTAGTGAATCACCAGCGCCGTTTTTGTACCCCATTAGGTATCGTTCCGTCGTCCGCCGTTCCACTGATCACCACGCGTCGCTCGCTGTGTTCCGTGACATAGATGTCTCATTGTCTGCCGTTCCACCGTATCACCACGCGCCGTTCTCTGTACCACATTGCGTGTCGTTCCCCTGTATCACCACGCGCCATTCCCTGAGGCTGACCCCCTTGTTTTCTCCGCTCCACATTAGGTATCGTTCCTGGTGATTGGCACGCTGACGGTGACGCTAGCGTTCTGCCGGTCGTTCCCGCTGCTCGTTGCCATCGTCCTGGCCATGGGTCTGTTCGACGGCTGTTTCATCTCACTGCTGGGACCGATCGCCTTTGAGCTGGTCGGCCCGGCCGGCGCTTCGCAGGCCATCGGCTTCCTGCTCACACTCTGTTCGGTTCCGCTCACCGTCGGACCCCCAGTGGCCGGTGAGTCCCCTAAAAACTATGGCACATTCCTTTCCACAGCCAACGTACTGGCGATGTTCCAAAATAAATTCTTTTACGCCCAAAGTGAAATATCATGGAACAATTTGAACGTTATCGTAAGCTCTCATCGGTCAGAAACCATGCTCAGGCTTCATGAATTGCCCGGTGTATAATACATGCATGGTTATACCTATAGTTACTTAACATTCTGGTCATACACCCCGCTCCGATATCATCTAAAGATACTCTGTCTTAGATATACCTATTACCAAGCCATTCTGTACATTTCGGCAGGTATGCTGTACGATCACACGCATTCGTACCAGACGGCGTTCGTGTTGGCCGGCTGTCCGCCAATCCTGGCCGCTGTGGCCATGTGCCTCATCCACCGGATCGCCGCGCCCCTGCCCGACGCCGTCCAGCAGCGCAAAATGTCCGCCGCACACGCAGACGGCCACGAGCACCATGAACAGGTGAGGGAACAGATAATGAACAGGCGAGGGAACAGATAATGAACAGATGAGAAAGGAGACACTAAAGTTCAACTATGTGAACATCATGGAAAGTAATCGACGGAGGGGCGAGAGAGGACGTTTGCATGGAGTCAAAGTTATTGGTGATTTATGAAGGGCTCACTAAAACACGAAATTGAGCAGTGCTTTGTATAGGTATACTTTTCCGTCTGATTAGTGACTGAAATCCTCAGCATTGTTAGAACCGCGCCAAAGGAATCACGGGTGCACCGTAAATAAGCAACTCTATTGTATCGTCTAACTGTGGCTCAGCTCATTCTGGGCTCGGCGCCAGCCACTACAGGCTGGTTGAAACGCCACTTAGGTCCGCTGCCAACTGCGCGACCTTACGAGAAACGTGAAATATTTACATAAATTCGGCGCACGTAACACATCGAAAGGACACTATGGTCAACGGATATAGTCTCCATTTAATTATCGCCGGGCCCATCCGCATCGGTTCTAAACCCCCTGGGAGTTGTTCTTTGGTGGAACACCGAACAGCCCTCCCACCATCTCGAACGGTTGCCCCAGGGCCTAGCGGGACCGTCGGGCGCCGGGCCGGAACAGGGGTGTGCAATCAATGGGGTGGGCTGGGCCTGAGGGATGAGTTGGTCCTGGCTACGACAAAATCTTGCAATGGATGATCAGAATCTGACCGTTATATTTTCACTCACGTCGCCAGCTGCCGCAGTGTGAGCAGCTGCTGGGTGCCGCCTCGCACGCCGTCTAGCGTCCGGAGACAGAAGCTGCAGTTCAGCCGTCGTCCGCTCAAAGTCCGAGCTGCTCTGATGACATCAACGGATCTTGGTGACGTCAACAGAGTTTGATAACGTCAACAGTCGAACGATGTGTCCTCAATGGGGTGAATGGAAATGAGTTCGCGTACGCAAATGACATGTGTGTATTTTTATGTGAAAGCATATCAGTGCTTCCAGGGCTAGCATATATTGCTATCAGAGTTGTTACTTTGCCCTTTTACTTATTAATCCCATTGTCCACCAACCAAACAATTCCCTCTTAGTTCTAGCTCGGTACGTGCTTAATATTTATTTTCGTACCTTAGATACCGACAGGATGCTATTTCTTCGAGATATTAAAAGAAAGAAGCATTTAACACCCTTTTATAGAGATTCCCAGCCTCAATCCCTGTCCCCCTGCTCCATCGACCCAACCCAACGTGTCTGTTTGTCAAAGGATAAGAACCTATATTTGTTGTTTCTGAGAGTATCACATCCGAAAGGGTAGGTAAGTACAAGACTGTACACTGTAAGTAAAGGACTGTACACTGTCCAGTGTCCAATGCCCACGTATTTAGACAAGGAGGTCAATTTATGAATAGCCTCGTCGCTTTTCGGCGCGCGCATTGCTTCCCTTAGACGCACATCCCATAGGGCCCAAGGATCTGTTACATCCGTATAACTAATGCAGGCACAGGGGCATGATCGAAATGATCCCCTATTGACTAGGAAAAATAAACGGATAATGGAATTATGTCTATAAAACATATAAAAACGATTACAAGCACACAGGCTGAAGCGCTCTGGGACTGAGCACTTAAAGGTGCCTGTAAGGACCGAGTTTAATGTCCATAGCCCGTTCGGTTTGAGAATTGTTATCGAGGTTAACTGGATTAGGTTAACACTTAATTGCAACGTAAACACATGTGGGTATGTGTAATTGCAATGAGTAGTGACAACCTTTATGACGAATTGGCCGCTGGAAGTTGATATGTGCTTGCATGACTCTCGTGTGTGACGTTACGATGTGACAAAACGCTTTTTCAGCGTATATTTTGTGTCCTTATAAGATGTGTGCAACAATGATGATGCCATGTAGACAAATAAACGATGTCCAATCTTTATTACGTCAATTCTCATCTGGGTAAATGGGGATACTTGGGCAATTGCGCAAGGGGTAGTTGGATAATATATATCACAGCGTCACAACGTCAGAATCAGCGCATCATGTCAAAACTTTAACCCTCGCACGACCAGGCCATTTCTCATAACACGAACGACCAGGGGGGGGGGTTGTTACGACCCCCCCTGGCGTTTCGAAACGGAAGGTCGTAGAGCTTAGCGGAAAAAACCAACGGATTGCTCTCAACGAGATCTCGCGATTGGTGGTATATTTTTTGGTCCTAGGTCAACATTTGACCTACTTATGACCGATCAAAGGTCAAATTTTCCGAAAAAATCAAACTTTTTCAACTTTGCGCAACGATTGCGGCAAAACGGTGAGAGATATTAACTTCAAACCTTCAACAACGTATTCCCCACTCAATTCTGCATCATATATGGTGTTTTTGGTGTATTTACCCTATAAAAGTAAGAGGCCTTTTGCTGATGAGTGATATGGTGTCACATCACCCTCCGGTGTTTGTCCCGATTCGTCGGCTGTTGACCACTGCTCCGCTATAAATACTGTAGGTAACGACTCAGAAAAGATATGTGGATATCCATTGCAATGTGGATAGCATCAGCAGAAAACCTCGGGACTCGGTACACACTTCGTGAAAATCCGGCCGGAGGCTGTACCTCTTATGACGTCATAACTCCGTGACCTGACCTGACCCGGTCAATTTTCTTGCACCACACGATAGCCAATGCTTGCCCCAACGTGCATGGGAAGTTTCATCATGATCCATCAAACAATGTGGGTATCACCGGCAGAAAACCTAGGGATTCGGCGCACACGTTTGGTAACTGTCGGCCGGGGGCTGTACCTCTTATGACGTCATAACTCCGTGACCTGACATGACCCGATCAATTTTTTTTTCGGCAAAAGATGCGCAAAGGTTGCCCCAGAGGGTATTGAAAATTTCAGCCCGCTACGACAAGCCGTTTAGCGTGCACTTCGAAAAAAAACCTCAGGGGGGGGGGTTGATACAACCCCCCCCCCCCCTAGGCGTTCTAGGGTTAACCCTATTCCTGGCGGGCTCCGCCGGGACAAGAAACTGGCGGGGGGGGAGCGATTCGGCCCCCCCTTCAGATCTCAAAAACTACACATCGCAGCGACAAACGGTAAACGGCATCGGATACGCACGGTCAAGATCTACAATTTTTACTAAGGTCATTTTCAGGTCAGGTCAAAGATGACGTCACAGGGGTCGAAAAAGTCAAAAGGGCGGCGCTAGATATGGAGAGTTTTTCTCGAATAACTTTCGAATTAGTCAAGATAGGAACAAACTAAGGGCATCATCGTGATCCTCTCGTCAATCCGCATCGAATGATATATATGTTGACCTCGAAAGGTCAAGGTCAAAGGTTGACCTCAGGTCACGTGACCTCGAGGTCATCATGTATATCATTCGATGCGTCTTGACGAGCTGAACACAATGAGACCATTCACGCGTCTGTATCTTGTTCCTGTACGGAGTTATTGGCCAAAAACCTTTGGTGACCTTTGATGACGTCACATGACCTCACAGCTGCCCAACAGCAAAACAGACCTCAAGGTAGTGAAGGTTGATCGTATATGAAGTCATGTATGGTATATGGGGCCATTCCGACCCGTTTTAGTGGTAAAAACAGGGAGTTGATTTTTCCCCCATTGACTTATAATGGGGAGGTCGCGAAACTGACCTGACCTTAGGTCACCGATATCAAAATTCCGAGATAAACAAATTGCACATACTGGTACCCTAACTAAAGCCTGAAGAGAAGAAATTGATCGGTCAAAAACTCTAGCTCTGGCGTGATTGCAAACTTTTCTGAGGTAGGGTCACCAAACCGCCTCTGGTGACCTGACCTGAGGTCAGATCAACTCAAAATTTTCAGACATGTTGCGTAGAAGCCTTTTAGGAAAAGTCAGAAAATTTGAGCTTCCTAGCTCAATGCGTTTGGGAGAAATAACCAAAAAACCTCAGGGGGGGGGGCTCCTGAGGCCCCCCCCCCCCCGCCAGGAATAGGGTTAAATTATGATAGATGTCGTTCGGCAGCTACGGTCATATGACAGAGTGTCACCTCAGAGGATAGAAGCAGGACAAGCTGGAAGCATCTCTGATGAATTATCATATTCGTTTAAATCACTCCATAACTCCGTATCCGTAATATAAATTACAAAACGGCACCATCGAACATGAAATGATAGGATATGCTGCGCAGGCGAGCAGCGTTTCAATCCAGCTCAGTGCTGCAGCCTGCAGTTATACCGGTTGTTCACAACTCACAAAATGTAGCCTTACGAGTGACCGGTAGGGTATGGTATTGAACATTGACAAAAACCGGCATTTTAACGGCTCAAAATTTTGCTGTTAAAAGCAGGGTTGTGCTCGACTCAAAAAAATTTGCCGACTCGACTCATCATTCAACTTCAGAAAGCCCTGACTCAACTCTGACTCAAACAAGGAGCTGATTTTTTCCCTTGACTCGACTCATGACTCAAGCGGCTCAATGAAAATATGAGTTGACTCAAACTTGACTCAATTTTTTGTTGAGTCAAGTATGTTGACTCAAAATTGACTCAGATAAAAAAGTTGTTGAGCGGGGGGGTGAAAAAAATCCGGCAGCAGGGCCAGGCCTAAGTTTTTAAGCGGGGGGAGAATGAAAAGCTTATATGTATACCTATTGTTTCTAGAAAGATGAGTCAGCTGACTCATGTTCCTAAATGTTTTTGACTCAACTCAATGCCAAAGTTATTTTACTGACTCAACTCTGACTCAACTCAACACCTTAATATTTTTGTCTGACTCAACTCTGACTCAACTCAACAGCTCAACATTTTATCCGACTCGACTCAAACCTGACTCATCTGAGTCAGAGTCGAGTCAGATCTCTGACTCGACTCATGAGTCAAGCACAACCCTGGTTAAAAGGACTTTCTTATAAGCAGCCAGCAGGCTTCTTTTGACTACAGTTACGAACTGTTTCAGTACCTAAGGAGTAAGCAGTCATTGTCGAACATAATTGAGCAACAATATAGAACTGCCGCCTAGAATATAATCGTTTGCCTTGCGGCAAATAGCTAATCGGTCCCGATCCCAACCGTACATACGCATTACGCATTGGCACTGCTCAGCAGGGGACGACGGGACCAGAGTCATATGGGACTTCCCCGCCCAGCCAGAGGCGTCTCCAGACACGAGCGATCGTGGGAAAGTGGGGCGGGATGGGGGTGAGTTACCACGGACCAAGGGACGGAATGCCGTACGGCGCCTGTTGCCCGGCGCCGGCACTGTTCGAAGTCACCAACAAAATGAGCTGTGACGTCTGGATTCAGCAGACTGTGCCTATCAGAGTACAGTGCGCACTGCGCACAGTCAGCGCCCACCGCCCCACAATCGGCCGACTCCCACCCCCGGTAGTGAGCGGGGTACGCCATTGGTTATGGCTGCGGAGAGCAGCGCGTCAGAGGCTGCGTCAGAGGTCATAGGGGTTGTTGCATGGGCCGGGCGCAGTCGGTGCAGTTGTTCGTCAACAGCCGGTGCGGCGGGTGCCCACGTCGTCACAAGGAGTAGAAGGAGGACAAAGCGCACGCCGAGCTCAGACAACTCCTGAGGGAGGAGACGTCGAAGCCTCACCTGCTGTACGGTGAGTACTGAGTTTTGATGGCTAGTCATTGCTGACGGATGGGCCAGGTGTCATTGACATCACAACGCGCATCCTATTTGCGTGGTGCGTGTTTTAACCTGTCACTGAACCGAACGGTGGATTTCATGGTTCCCATAACGCTAAACCTTGTGTGATTTGTGTGGAGGTGTATCGTAGTTCAATGGCCATTGGTGGCTTTATTTTGTACGTAGTAGGTATGAATCATCCAGGGGTAGGTATAAGTAGGTAAACAATTGCTGACCGGTCTCAAATTTGATCGGTTTTTTATCTCAAACAAACGGTGATGACTTTCGCGGTCAAAATTGATCGAGTTTGCTCTGTTTGCGTATAAGTTAATCAGTGTGTGGAATGTGGACCCAAGTTTGGTAGGCACCATTTAAATTCGCTGCGCATACCGAAGTTCAACACTCTCATTTCATTTTCATCAAAACTCTACATACCTAGTTCAATATCGGCGGCCAAACGACTGGGGAATAACACCCTTGGTATGTAGGAAAAAACACGGATCCCACAACGATTGTCTCTTGTCATCTGGCGACCTCTGAAGTGACGAATATCACCATTAGGCCATTTTTTTTTAACCCGGCAGGCGGTGAGTCTCCCGGCCACCTTCCGCGCGGTGGGGGGGGGGGGAGGGGGTGCATTTTTTACCCCGCCCCCGGTATCTCCGAACTACTGAACAGATCCGTAAAATTCAAACGGCGTTCGATAGCCCTGTCAAATTTGTCTCAAGAAAACGAAATTCATCGACCTCGGGGTCACTGATGACGTCACAGGTCAGGTCAACGATAAAATGTTTCACCGTTCACGGGTCTTCTAGGGAATGCGCTTTAACACCGAGGAAAACGCATTTTGTCGAAAAACAGCGATAGGGCGTCAGTTGCCTAGTACATATGTTGCTATTAGAGGTCACTGACAACACCAAGTCAGGTCACAGGTCAGGTCACCAAGGGTCAGCACATGAATCCAACCTTACGAAGGTTGTGCGATGCATGTTTTATGGCCAATTTTTCATTTCCAACTCAATGGTGTTGGTTATAAGACCATCAGGTACGGTTTAGGTCACATTCTGGTGGAGGTCAGGTCAAGGTCAGGTCAAAAAGGTCAAATTTCAAAGTTGATAGTTTTGCATAAAATGGGTATTGATTCAATGCAGCTCGTCACGGGGAGTCTAATGGTGGTCTTTGTTTTGCACTACGAGGTCTAGAATTGCTAAAAAAAAATGAGTTTGAAAATTTGACGTCCTCAATTTTGAGCAGTTTTTTTCGCTATAACTTAGCCAAAACAGAGGTATCGATCTCAAATTTGGTATGTGAATAGAAGGCGGTAAGGACTATCACATACCTATATTCCGATTTTTTTTCGAAGTTCCAAAAACTTTTTGGATGTCTTGGCCATTATATTAAAAAACTATTTTTTATTTTTGGGGGTCTAAATCCAGAAATTTCAAAAATCCGAGATAGCAATTTTGTAGCCCTTTTAATTCTACACCTTTTATGTCTTAAACATTTTTCTGTATCTCTAAAGCTGTAGGCCTGACAGCTCTTCCCGCGAAACCTTTTTTGGGGTCGAAAATGGCAGAAATGACGTCACTCCGACGTCATTACCGGCCAACCTATCATAGCCTTTGGAAAAATTTCGGTCACAATGTGCAATAGCTATTCACGGGAGGGTACTGAGAGTTTGGTGACGATCGGCGCAGCGGTTCTGGAGATATATCGAAAAAAAAACTAAAGAGGGGAGGCAAAAAATGCCCCCCCCCCCCCCCCCCACCGCCTGGAAGGATAAAGACCGCAGGTCACGGTCGGGTCACATCTGGTCAAGTCGGCCTTTAGCTCAGGAGATTCATTTTGGATAACATTCAGCTTATTACGGATCACGGAAGGTGCGAAATGTAAAGCTTAGACATCAGGCAAGTAAGAATCATACCTACTAATCATGTACATAACAAAGTTTCGAATCGCTTGCGAGCAGATTGTATCATTTCCGGCGCTGAACAAGCAGCTTCCGTCGTTAAGACTAACGTAGATGACCTAGCGTCAGGTGTCTCATGCGAGAAAGTGAGATTGAAGACACATATTCCTGGCTCCTGAAAAAATAGCACCTAGAAAATTGCAAGGTAGCACCATCACCTCCTCGGCTGGGGAGGGTAGGCATCAAACTTTCTACGGGCCGGACATTAGATCACCAAAGGCTGCGACAATCACACGGCCTTCGTCATGATAAGTTATCACGACGCGCAGCCTGTGAATCAAATCATCGCGTCAAATCAACAATCAGCTGAGTACCAACCATGCTCATACTCAGTTATCGATAGCGAGGGCGACTCATCACGTAGGTATCCATATCTTCGACGGGCCAAATATTTTGCGCATACCAATGCTAACACTCATGATTCGAGAGGGACTCGATTGTTTAAGGCCGCTACGTGACTCAGCACCGGTCAACTCGAAAGGCAGGGCAGTTCATCCCGGGTCGTCGTCGTTGTCTTATAGTTGGGTGTAAAGTCCACAGTCCACAAGATGTGAATATCAACAAGATTTGGATATCGCCACATATACCACATACAAAGTTTCAACCATGCTGATTTAGTTTTTACTAACAATTAATCAAAACAGGCTCTGTCAAGCCCTTCTCAGATTGACGCTATTCGGCTCGATCAGATCAGGCCCGCTGTTTTGCAGGATTGCCTGACCGATAACTGCTTTCTCTCGGGCAGACAGACACCACTTGGACATCACCAAGAGCCATGAGCGATTCCTCCGAATACGACAGTGGTAAGCACACTTCATCACCTACTTGACTATTGGTAAAAGGCCTACGATGTAAGAATGTCTTGAATGAAATCAAATATTTTCTACAGTTCACATTTTATTCGAATACGGTATTCATAAGGAATTGCATAAAGAGCGAAATTTTGAAGAAAAAAAAACGACTTTGCATAAAAAGCGAGATTTTTAAAAAGGCGACTTAACATAAAAAGCGAGATTATTATACAGAGGCATTATTTCTCGGAACAGAGGGAAGGTTTGTTTTTCATAGAACCACAAACCTTTCGGCAGTCCGAAGTTCATCATGAAATGATCCGCTCATCAGTGTGCGCGCAGTTCGTTCAAATATCCCGACGTGGGCAATTGCTCAAGAATACAATACAATCGGGCAATAGATCGGCCGACTGTTTATGTTTGTCGGACAGACGACCTGGCCGAAGATTTCGAGGGACTGGCCGTGGATAATTCCCCGCCAAGGAAGTACAAGTGCGGTGTCTGTAAGGAGGTCGGCGACCACTTCATCAACGACTGTCCCACGGTGAGCGCTGAAGCGAATCACGCTCGAGAAACAATTGTGTGGATCCGATACTACCTTGCACAATACACAAAGTCAGGAGCATAGCAAATGATGCATGCATAATACACTTAGCTCGTAAAGAAAACACGGTGACTGATTTGAGTCCCCTCGAAAACCTTTCTCGGTGGTAGTTAATTGAGTCAACATGTTCCTTACTCTGAACCAGTACCCTATCTAAACCAATCCACCGTTCCGTCTCATCATTTGCGACGCATAAATTGCTATTTCAAATGACCCCCTTTGGCGCGGCAGGCGGCGGAGACCGGCCAGCGGACGCCCTACCAAGGCAAGAGGCGCTGTTTCGGTCAGTACCAGTGTAGCAGCTGCCTACGCCTGTGGGTGTCCAGTCGCAGCTGGGCCAACACCCAGCAGGCGTGCCAGGACTGTAAGGTCTACGTGTACCCGCACAGGCAGGTCAGTAGCACACCGCCACAGACCGTCCCCTCCCATCCAGTCCTGGCAGGGGCTGGAACACGTACGGCGTAACCAATTGCGGATTACGGTCGGCAATGGTTCGCAGTATCTTTATCAGAAATGAACACTATCATGAGGACCAACCCCTATCTTTATCAGTATCTTTATCAGAAATGAACACTATCATGAGGACCAACCCCTATCTTTATCAGTATCTTTATCAGAAATGAACACTATCATGAGGACCAACCCCTCACCCCACCGCTAGCAAATGCATCATATCTCTAAGTGAAACTCTCCAGGTGTAGTAACTAGTAATACTGTGTACTAATTATATCACACACGGTGAGCTCGACTCGCTGTGATACTTTCCTTCAATAATTGTTTAACACATCGTCAAAATCAACCGGTGTCTCCCCTGACACTTTTCAGAGGCCGCTGTATAAGCCCCAAGGGATGGACGACGTATGTGATCTGGACAAAAATCATCAACAACAACTGTGCAGAAGATGCCATCGGCTAGGCCATTCGTGTGTGCAATAGAAGCATCACTGGTCACTGGTCAGCTACTGTGGGAGGAGGGGATTCTGGTGTGGTAAGCGAACCGGCACACCGGACAGCCTAGCGGTCATACATGACCGACCATTCCTCGTCGGCCAGTCATATCGTCGCTACCATTCTCCCGGTGCCGTGTTCGCTACCGTTCTTCCGGTGATATGCGTTCTTACCGTTCTCCCGGTGCTGTGTTCCGTACCGTTCTCCCGGTGATATGCGTTCTTACCATTCTCCCGGTGATGTGTTCGCTACCGTTCTCCCGGTGATATGCGTTCTTACCATTCTCCCGGTGATGTGTTCGCTACCGTTCTCCCGGTGATATGCGTTCTTACCGTTCTCCCGGTGCTGTGTTCCGTACCGTTCTCCCGGTGATATGCGTTCTTACCATTCTCCCGGTGATGTGTTCGGTACCGTTGTTCAGGTGATGTGTGTTACTACTATTTTCCCGTTGATATGCGTTCTTACCGTTCTCCCGGTGACATGCGTTCCTACCATTCTCCAGGTGATATGCGTTCTTACCGTTCTCCCGGTCAGACGATGCTCACACTGCCTAGGAAACGTATAGGATCGGCCCAGCACGCGCATTGCCATTGCGTGTGTGGTGTTTTATGATCAGTCAGATGTTTTGACATACATCAGGTGTTCTGTATGTACGCTGAGCTATAAGTGATTGTCGTTTTGTACCCCTCAGCGTGAGGGGGTGAGAGATTAGCTCGTTGAGCGCATTACCAAGAGCCAGAGCATGTTCAGTCATGTTGGCGATGTTCACATTAATTGTTTCAGGGACCAAGACGGTAATGTATGTGTTAATACAAAATATGGGTAATGGCCAATGGGCAGAACAGCTCCAGATTGTCCCATATCAGTATGTTTGTGAGGACGGAAAAATAACAAAGCTACCTAATGAAGCACAATGTCTAATACTTAGTGCACAATTCCTCTGCGTAGTTTCTTTATGCCTGCTTTCCTTGACACCGTGTGTCGATTTTAGCAAAGACGCGTAATGCGGCTGTTGTGATGTACGCGCCACGCCGCGTCGTGTCATCGTGTCACGTGGGATGTGTTCGTGTCGCTCGGCACACCATGTATCCGGAAAATATACACCGATAAAGCTTAAAAAAAAAGACGCGTAATGCTAAAAACCGGTATATTACCTCCAGCTCCTTTTGATGTCGTTACGCATTCGTTTCGATGTCATTCGTTGCCTCAGCCACTGCGGGGGGGGGGGTGCAATTTCACGTCTCGACCAAAGACACGGATAGCTCGACACCGCCGCCGGCCGGCTCGGCGGTGGCCGGCCGGCCGGCGCGCGGCCAATTTGCACAGCGGACACCGGGGGACGGGACCAGACGGCCGGCTCGCCGCTCAGCGCCGCGCGCCTCACCTAGTACTCCTCGCCCATTTCGATGCGCATGCGGCGCTGGATGTTGCGCATGTCGCGCAGCACCTTGAGCTGCGCACAGTGGATCGGGTCGGCGTTCTTGGAGCCGGCCGGGCGGCGCGGCCGCGGCTGGCCGGCCGGCCGCGAGCGCGGCTGCACCGGGCGCAGAGGGAAGTTCTTCTGCATGGAGAAGGTGACACCACGCGGGCGCACACTGTTGGGCTGTGGACGGGACGGGAGCGGCGGTCAGCGCGGGCGCCAGCGGTGTCCGATGGCACAGCGTGCCGCTCGGAGTCGGCTCATAAACTGCTTTGTCCTGCACAGACGGCCAGCAGACACCGCCACGGGCCGACGGATCGTGTGGTGCCGGCGGCTCGGCAGCTAGGTCAGTGTAAGGTCGTCGCAGCGCTGTGTTTTGAATTTGAACCGAGCTGGCTAGGTGGCTGCGAATGATACCAGTCGGCCCCGGACCAGGTGGTAGAGAAAATTACATACTGCCTGATTAATCCATTTTTACATGGTTAAAAATAACGGTCCTTTCATCATCGAACAGTGGTAGATAAAAGGAAATGAATAGTTGAATCACGTTACGTCATCAATGAGGTATCACCTGATAACACTTTTTGCATACTCAGTGGCCGTACGTACCTGTATGCGTGTGTTGACCCTCATCGGTCGTCCCGGCCTGGCGGGCAGGCCGCGGCCGGCCCGTCCGACCAGTCTCCTGCCACGCACGCTGCTACCGTCCTGGCCCCCGGCGCCCACACCGGCTCGCGACAGCTTCTTGATCTGGAGAGCACAACGCACCGCGATGGTCAGTGGTCAGGGCACCGGAGCGGAACCAAGATGGCAGTGCGAATGCACGTTCTCCCTAGCGGCTCCTCTCCCCTCGCCTGCCTCGAAGTGTGTACCTCCCCCGCCGCGGCGCCCCTATTCTCTCACCTGTTTGTAGAGTTTGAGCAGACAGCAGACCTGGCGTCGTCGCTCCTCCATCATGGTCTCCAGCCGGCCGATCTGCTCCTCCAGCTGACACCGGTCCACGCTGCCGTCGGCGCGGCCCATGTCCGTCTCCAGCTGCTGGCAGACGCACTCGAGGCCGGCAAACTCCTCTGCCAGCTCCTCCAGTAGCTGTTTCAGACTGCGCTTGGTCTTGCGCAGCGTGGCCGGGTTGCAGAGCATCTTTTGCACCTGGACGGACGCCGCTGAGCGGGCGTCCTCGTCGTACCCGGACATCTGGCGAACGGGTCAGTGAGGCAGAGTCAAGGTCGGACACGGACGGCCGGAGCCGACCCCACCCGGGGGCTGACCGGGTGTGACCTACCAACAATTTGTGTTGTCCAAATATTTACATTTTGCTTTAACATATGACTTAGGTAGACGTTAACAAACAAGACTTTCGTCCCGAGTATGTATCAACCAGTAAAACGCCTTTTGGGCGAAGAACGAGCGAGCGAGACAGTGAGCCCTGCACGTGCGGAAGGGCGAGAGGGTACTTCCAACGGGCTTGTGCAAAGCACCCTTCTAACCGGTCGCTAGCGGTGTGCCAACTTTGAACGCAATCGGCCCAGCCGTTCCTGAGATCTGGAAGCGGCATTCTGCACGTGCGCACGTGCAAACGGGGTCCAAAATGACTTTTGCACGGCACCCTACTAAACGGTCCCCAACCGCGTACTAAATTTGAGCGCAATCGGCCCAGCCGTTCTCGAGATCTGGAAACGCCCCCTGCACGTGCGCACGTGCAGTAGCACCCTAACCGCAACACATGGGAATGCATTGCCTGGTGGGTGCCTACCTGTATGCCAATTTTCAGCGAAATCGCCCCAGTAATTACCGAGTTACTGAAATGGGAACAAATTTGGCACCTCTTCTTTTTGTATTTTGCACGTGCAGTGGGGGTCACTCACATAGATCAAGAGTATCCGACCTTTGGTAGAAGGGATGCAGCTACCCTATAAAAATTCCCGCAAGACAATCGCTCAAGCCGCTGCTGAGATATGGGCCTCTCAAAATCATTACTTTTGCAAAACTGCTTGAACACCCTTGACTTTTCACGTGGCACGTGCCACGACGGTCACTGAGATGTATCAAAAGTAGTCAATTACGGGGTAGAAGGGATGGGGCTACCCAGCAAAAAAGACCGCAGGCCAATCGGTCCAGCGGTTGCTGAGATATAAGCCTCTCAAAAGCGTTACAGGCCGGGCCGGGCCGGGCCGCTCATACTGAGATTTTTCCCTTATATTGAAAAGACTTCGCTTCGCTCGCTGCGCTCGCTCGCTCGTAATTATCAGCGACGTGCCATAATGCCTACAAGTCATACGTCATTCAAATGCCCGTATCTCCCCCGGTTCTCTACACCGAGTCAGACTGTTGTGACCGATACCGACGCGTCCCGTACATACCTTGTTGGCCGGCGCAGGTCGGTAGGCGGCGCGTCGCGTCATCTCACGCGTCTCCGAGTGGTCAATCACACAGCCCTGCCGGTCCCGCTCGTAGCGCGCAAAGTCGGCCGTGTTGTCCGGGCCGCAGCTGGTCGGTACGGTAAAACACAGCACATGTACAGGCGAGCGCGCAGCACAGCAAACAGCACAGCACAGCCGGCGCAGCACAGCACAGCCGGTTACATGGTCCACACACAGTATACAGGCGTAATATGACCAGAGATTACAAATTCACGAACGAAAAACGGGTGCGGTTGGTTCAAATACGAAATAAAGAGAGTATCCGCGGAAATCAGCCGGTTAAAAGCTCAGCAACTACATGATAAAAGCGATTACGTAATGAGCGACGTGTGCGAAATAAAAATGCGGTAGCGAGGTAGGCACAGGCGCGACGGGCGCAACGACATACTGTAGTGCAACTAAAACGAAGCAGAACCTAACTGCGAGCGATCAGATTCTTATAGTTGACCTTCTACCGAATGGTATCACACATGAGTAGTCTCGCATTGCCCGTACGTTTACAGCACTGCAGCAGCCTCGGGTAGGACCTTGGCACGGCTTATCTAATTACTGCCGGCTACGCCACCAGTTCATAGTTCACAATGAGCATAATGGTCCCACCACGCGCGGCTCCACCGTGCGTCATTCGCCCCCTATCACCCCTATCAGACTTTCAACAACGAGCGCCACAGCTGCCAGGGGACGCGAGGTTAGTCACCACAATCCGCCGCTGTGGTTTGGGTACAACACACGTTGCCCGCCTCCCTAGCTGAGTCAAACGTCTGTGTGGACGGTACTACCGGCACACAGACGGCTCTGCCCCGCTATCTGGTGGTGTGTATGTGGGTAGTGATGGTCATAGCACCCAGCCGGCCGGCCAGCCTGGGGGCGGAAGGGGTCCCGTCAGTCCGGCGCCACACACTACCCCCGCAGACCGGACGAGAGCGGCAAACAAAGCATACTCAGCAGACAGGCAGTAACGAGGCCGGGAGGCAGGACATGACTGGCAATGAGCAAACCGAGATAAACCATGGCGCAGTGCACAACATATTGGCATCCGACTGGCAGCAAAATGTAGTCGGGTGATGACATTCAATCTGGCATTTATAAGCAGCAGACTAGCATCTACGCAGCTCCTGCACAATACGACTAGCACAAACAAGCGTCGCGGATGACATGGGCAGCGGCGGGAGGGGATTCCCGACCCGGACTGTCGACCGCCTGACCTACCTGCGCGGGTCCACCTCGATCTTATACTTGTCGATCTCCATTTTGTCGTGGTAGCGGAACGGTTTTCTGCGCCGGTAGCGAAGGAAGGGGCCGCGCGCCGGTAGACGGCCCACCTTGATGTCGGGCAGCGGCGCGCCGGAGCGCGTGCAGCCGCCCGCCTGCTTGGCCAGGCTCATCACATGCTGGATGTTGGCGCCGATGTGGTGGCTCTTGTTGGTGTTCTGACCGGGGCGGAGACGAGAAGGCAAGGGATGATCAGATATTTCCTCGAAAGTGATAAATTAACATGACCACCATGAGGAAAGGCATTGATACCTAGCAAACGACTGAATCATACCGCACACCCATCAACGTTATGAGAACGGGATCAATCTAGCCCACTGACACTTGAGCGAAAAATAGCTTCGTGATCGCAAAGTTTCGAATCACAGCTGTAACACATTCCTGCGCGAATATGAATATTTTCAATCTACACCCATGTCCATGTTTACTTCAGCCCCACTTGCCCTGCTGGCCGCTTCCGGCCTGCCCCGGCCCCCGGGAATCCCCGTCAGCCGTACCGACGATGACAGGAAGGGCAGCGGTGCGCGTCCCATTTGGTACTGTTTATCGCGCTGGGTGCGCGTCCGCTGCTCCCTCTCCAGTGTGTGGCGCGCCAGCCGAGACGGCGACTCGGAGTCGGAGTCGATACCGGAGTCGGGACCGCACTGCCGAGTCAGACCACGGAACATCAGAAAACAGTCAATAATAGGAAATACAATACACAGTCCATTATTTGTGCAGCTAGACATTTCGTTAGGCTACGAGGTGGATGAAAACCCGAAGAGAGTAGAGCTGATGCTGTGAACAGCGCGCCCTGTTTCACAGCCTGGAACTGTTACCATCGTCCCATTGCAACCAGTCCGTTCTCCGCTTGTGTAGGGTGAAGTCGTATAAGGGTACGCACTTAGTGGATTTCTTGCTCTCATTTGTTTAATATTTGAAGGAAAGAAATCGCAAATAGGGAATATTAAAGTTCATTGAATTAGCCATCAACCCATGGGGCAACGATCCTTCAGCGTAAATGGAAGTGGTCTAAAACTGACAATTTCTGAACCGTTGCACTTGCGTACTCTTACCATATGGGGTGTGTAAGAGTACGCACGCCAGGCGGGTGGAGTACGCAAGCATATGAACACACACCTATGCAGCTTGCACTGTCCAAATGCTTAACTTCAAACTCAGAAGGCATTTAAGTTAATTCTAGTATCCAAAAAGAAAAACAAAATAAATCTTTCAAGTCTATAAATCAGGAAATAATCATGTCGTGTGTTTCTTAAAAAAATGCACAATCAAAAAGGAGAATAACTCGTATTTGGAAGAATTTCGGGTACGCATCTGCATCACAGTGCTCCATTGATGATATACCTACAAAACAAACGTCATTGAGCGAAAGATTAATAATTATACATTTCTGCATATTCGATTTAATGTATAATTCTGCGTACTCTTACCCTCCTGAACAGTGCGTCCTCTTACCGTACATGCAATTCGCGCACAAAACAACCCCGAAACGTTGTGCAAAACTTCGCAAACAGAATATTGCACTGTACAGTATTTCCCCAGATAACCTCACAAGTTTCCCACAACAATCACGGAAATGTACCACATCTCAACTGCCAAGTATCAAAATTATTGTACCATATCATAATAATATCATAACGCTCGAAAATAATATTCATCGCCTTAAACTCAACAGCGTCGCAGCTCAACGCCCACGTTCCGTTGGTGACATGCACGCACTGGCGGCTTCATGTCACTTCATGAACTCGACAAACCCGCGTTGCTAAGCAACCGAAACAGCTGATGCGTACTCTTATCGCCCGCGTACTCTTACCCGCCCTTACCCTATGCCGACCAAGACCCAGCCATACGCCGGGCGCAGCTCAGTTCTGTGATCCTCCCAGGCCCCAGCCCCGTCCCCCTGCCCGCGGCGGATGTACACAGTCCACGTCACACATACCCGGCGTCCGACCGACTCGCTGGCAGCGCGGCGCCGGGGCCGGCCGCCGCGAGCCGGCGCCGGAGAGCGGCTGGCACGTGAGCGCGAGGCCAGAGACGCGGCGCGGGACCGCTCTCGCAGCTCCTGCACCGAGCCGGGCACGTCTGCAACGGAGAACGAATGAGTGACGGTCAGATACACGACCTTAGACGTCCGTCAGACAAGTTAAGCGGACTGTTAACGTAGATTACTCCTGACTGCGGATACAGACTAACCAGAGGCCTGTTTCACTAAAAACTTGCGATTACAAGTGTTTGAACTTTACAATTCATAAGTATTTTTGCAAACTATGTAAAATCGGATTTCACTAAAGTTCATCACCAGCGGCACCTCCGATAAAAAGAGTTTGCAAATAAACTTGTTAACAGTAAAAATGTTTTTAATCAAGAACTATAACATGTTACAGATATTGCTTCTTTTTATCAACCTATGTCTAGTTTTCATGTCAGAAATTGCAGGAATAAATTAAAAATAATGATGCTGTTTCTGAATGGTATAAATGATAGTTCACAATATCTTATTATTGAAAGAAAATAGCACGTAAAGCATTTGACAGCAGAAGACTGTTGAATGCAATTATGGCGCGCGAATGACAAAACATGACGATATTTATTTATTGCTCGTAGCTGGTTCGTAGGGAATGTGCTAAGTGAAAAAGAGCATATAATGACTCAGCATATCATATTTGTTTTAAATAATCGATTGCTTTGCATCATTGCACAAAAAGTAATAAAATTCCAAACGTAAGGGCCACTGGAATTTCGTGTTTGTAAGTACAACGTTTTCTTTAAAGCTTTTGGTCTTCGTGAAACAGAAAGTTTGCGATTTCGATGTTTCTTACAAACTTTTTTCTTGTAAAAAAGTTGGTAAATTTTAAACTCAAAATTCATGCCCGAAAGTTTCGTGAAATCCAAATTTCAAATGTTGGTAATTATTTCTTTTAAACTCAAGCTTTTTCTTTGTAATTACACACTTTATTTGTTAGTGAAACAGGCCTCAGAATGAGAAAACTAAGACGACCTCTATCGTAAAAATACCCAAAGGTACATCATTTGAAAAAAAAAATAGAAGACACAATGTCGACAGTGCTGTGCTGTTAGTCTCTCCAGCACACTGCAGTTCGGACGTACATTTGGAGGCGTTGGCCAGGATGCCTCCTGCGCAGCGGGAGCGGGAGCGCGGCCGGGTCTTGTCACACCAGAGGTGGTCGCCGTCGGCGTCCGTCTCGTCGCCCCGGTCCCGTCGGCCGCCGCCCGCCTGTCGAAGCAGGCTCTCGGCGCGCAGACGGACACCGGCTGCCACAGGACGCGGGCATATCAGCAGCCGGACACGGCAGTCAGCGGACACGACAGTCAGCGGACACGACAGTCAGCGGACAGGGACACGTGGGTCATCGGACACGGCAGTCAGCGGACAGGGACACGTGGGTCATCGGACACTTCAGTCAGCGGACAAAGACACACCAGCCAGCGGACAGGGACACAACAGTCAGCAGACACTTCAGTTAGCGGACACGGACACAACTGTCACCGGACAAGGACACATTGGCCACAAACAATAGTCTTTACCAGACATAGGCTCATTGAGCGACACATGTGCGGCCCGTCAGGAGCTGTTGGACCTTCCACCACCGGTTCATCCCATCTTGGATGAATCATTCGAGCCGGTCGCCGACAACAGACGGGCCCACAGCGGCAATGAGTCACCGTCTAACGTTACCGAGCCCTCAAACAACACCATACGCCCACTACAATGCAACATATTTCATAGTCGTAATTCATCATCCACCCGACACGCTACGTCGAGCCTACCACTCCACCCAATACCATCCAGCCCCGTAACCTCTCCTGCCGCCAGTCTCTGCCGGCGGCCACTCACGTCTGGTCTGCTGTTTTCCCCGGGTGCAGGGCGGCTTCCTGCCCGGCGAGCGGGATGTGCACGGGTTCGAATTGCGCAGCGATGGTGATGAGGCGTTCTGTCTGCGCCGCGGCGGCGAGCGGCTCGGCTGCGGGTGGGTAGAGTTGGAGAGCGACCGGCGACGCTGCACAATGTACTGCCGGGGAGAGAGGAGGCGGGTGGTCATCTAGCAAAGATCAAACTTGGTCTGAAGGCGTCATAAATGCTTAACAACACCTGTCAAAGAGGAAGGATCGTTACCAGGACAAAGTTTTCCTAATCACACACCGGTAGCCTGCATATGAACGAATTATCCCCCCCCCCCCAAAAAAAAACTCTAAGCCGTATATTCTGAATTTCATCCCGACCTGGGCCCTGGCACAGTTCTTGCGACGAATAATTATTAATTAATTCCTTACACTAACGTTATGCACAAAAGCTCTTATGGGCGTAAGACGAAACTCCCGCAAAACTCCCGCAGCGGCTCACCTGTTGCACCTTCTTGTTGGGGTTGCTTCGACAGGGAGTCGGGCTTCTGTTCCGGCGCGACACGGAGGGACTCCGGCTGTCCCGGGGCGCCTGCCGACGCGACCGGGCGCACCGCTCGGCGTTCGTGTACATCTGCTTCATAAAGTCCAGCTGGTCGTGCAGGTTGCTGCACCGAGACTCGGCCACGTTCAGCTGGCTCAGGAAATCTGCAGGCAGCAAAGCAGGTGACATTCATTTCCATCACTTAACGTCTTTACTAATACTTTCATAAATAGCGATGTCCATGATATTGTAAAATAGCATATCCAGTTTAAGTTGAACATTGAGTCACAATTATTCAAGACAGATTATCAGGATCAGCTGCTGGATGGAAAGCCACGCAATTGGAAGCCCCTATATACAAAGACGCGCACTTACCTTGCATCCTGTCGTCATTTTCGTCCTTATTTTGCAAACATGATAGCAGCTTATCGCGCTCTTTAAGCGCCCTCGATACTTCTTGCTGGGCATCATCTTGAGCTGACCTCAAGTCAGATAGTAGTCCTGAAAGGCTATCAAACCCCTCTGATATCTCTGGGAAAGGAAAAATAGTATGTTACCAACCTTCGAGAAAAAATGGAGACATATTGCTAGACTCGAGAACATTTCTAACTCGGTCAAATTAGATAGTCCAATGCCAAGAAGGCACACCCAATGCTATCCATCATAATTCTCTTAAGAAACGTGTCAGCCATTGGCTATAACAATATTGATGCATTAAACAAGCTCAGTAACCACTAAAAGAATGACAAGCAAGCAAATGCATAAATATGCCTGTGACCATCTTTCAACAACAGACCATCTCTTCTGGAGGTTTTCAGTGATCTGATGGCAGGATGTTTCGTTGGTGATGTATCTTCCTGGGATCGCAAAGTCGAACAGCTATAGCTGGACGAAATATCAGTCGTCATTCTCGTAGTGGTTCTACCGTGATTGGCTCGTCGTCGTTATGTCGTCTCCTCGCACTGAAATAAAAAAAATGATTGTAATAATGCAATACATGAGTCTGGGATGCTATAAAGCCAGCTGTAAGAATCATAGCTTTAGCTTCATTTATTTAAATAAATCAACTGGTCTTAACACGCGCAGTGGAAGCGTTGCGAGTACTACGCCCAGTGGAAGGGGGGGGGCGGATGTCGCCCCCCCCCCCTAAGATCTCAGCTCCCACTGGAGCTAGAAAGACGAAATTTGGAAGGTAGGTGAAGGCCCTGGGGAACTCTGTTGTGTGTGAATTTCATGACCCTAGGTCAATATCTTCAAGGTCAAATGAGGTCAAATGTGGTCAAATCTGCCATATGAGCGACTTTTTTGCGTTTACACGCCGATAACGCAAAAAGTTACCGGCCGATTTTCTTTTTTTCACTATACGAAAGAGCATACATTTGTGAGTATGTATGGTGAATTTCTAGTTAATCCAACAATAAACATGGCAGCTAGAAGCCTGCTAAGGGTAAGATGTCGCCGGCTGAAGCGGGATCGGCCGACGCGGGAAACGCGGCAATCACAATTTTGTGTTTACACACTCATAACTCAAGTTGTTACCGGCCGATTTTCAAAATTCTTTGACCATGAGATTGCCTGTACATTTCTTAGTCTTCTCACAAAGTTTGACGCTAATCGAATATAATCAGCGGTAAGGAGCGCGATGTAAAGACGGAACCGTCCCGCCCCGGCACAGTCTACAATTCAGGCGGCGCGTAACGGTAAGCGCCGGCCGCCGCGCCGCCGCGCCGCCGCGGCGACAGGATGTTTACTTTACACCGCTATTACTAAAAAGTTGTGACCCGATTTTCTTATTTCTTGCACGAGAAGATCCGCAGTTCAATTCTGGACAGGTAGCCAAAATTTCACATTAATATTATGTTTGTGGCGCGAGTTATTGGCGAAAAAACAGGAGGGGTGGGCGGAATCCGCCCCCCCCCCCCCGTTCCACTGCGCGTGTTAAGATAAAAATACCTAACAAATAGCCCAGCATTTGGATATTCACTGAGAGACATCATTGATCATATAAATATAAATTGGTCATGATATGATTCCATGCCATGCTTCAAACTGACACCAAGTGTTCAACATCTTAGCTCAGGAAATAGGAATAATAATTATTGATGCATAGTTATCACACTACAAAACAAACAGACAACTTTGGTAGACAGAAAGCCCTAGCATCTATGTTTTCACAACACATCTTAAAGTTCTGAAAAAGGAAAATGGAGCAATGCTGTAAATAAATCATGCTTCAGACAAACAATGTAGGTACTAGTGAAGAAAACAAACAGCCAGAACCAGAAGCTAAGCAATGTTGTGATCAATTAGCAATCATTGGCCCAATGGTGAGCAAAATTTGAATTACAGCAGTGCTGTTTTCATGTATTGGGTAACAAAATTACCCAAATCCAATTTACAGTGTCCCAATTCAACTCTTTTTGTTCTCTAAATCCAATAACTCATATATTGATTTATTTCCCTTGTGTTATTGAGGCAATTGCTAGTGTGGTTTCTATCATAAATTAACAACAATGCAGGAAGGCAAAAACTTAGCAATAACACTAGCCAAATGCTGACATTCTGAATGATGCAGGGAGGGGCATATCTTACATCATTATGGACACAATCTATGCTGATGACAAAAGCCTGTCCATTGAACTTTTTGAAAACCTATCAAATTGGTGCCTTACCAACAACTGGATAAAATCAGCTGGCTGGCCAGCTGGCGACGTATGATAGCTTTGTTATTTATTGATATAAACACGGTAGAACACGCAAAATGGCACTCATAAAAATTATTAAAAGATAGGTATTTAGTTAGTTGTACTTGGCATTGATATCTAGCGCTGCTCTGCTAGTGTAATTGACCATGGAGAATCAGTATACCGACATATATATTATAGAAATGTTCTTGCTGTAGCAAAGATTCTTATGCTGTAGCAACTGCAATCTTTTGCTAATGTTGGCTGAAAAGCACGGTGAAAATGTTTCCGCAGGAAGATTTGGGCTGGAATCAGAGCAAAATGATAAAAATACCCACAACATATCCTCAGATCCCTTTTCTACTTTAATGCTTTTAAATGCCGTAAAAACTTATAGGCATGCTCACTGAATGAATGACAAATGACAACTCAGTATGTTGATATCAATGCTACACAAAATATATTAATGCAAGACTCAATAGTCAATAACTCAAACTGGGTCCATTAGTTGACTGGTGCTTGCAGACTGTATGACGAAAATGCCAGGATTACAGAATAACTCATCAGCAGGGTTATGGAGAATGAAAAGAAAGGATACTTACAAAATATTGTCCAATTCACTGGTACATGATTTGCACAGTAAAACGTATAGCAATAACAATACGCAAAAGCGTTTATAAAGAAATCCAATTTTTAAAATTCCCTCCACCGGTTACTGCCAAAACAAAGCGAATTTCAGCCTTGAGGGCAATTTTATGACGCAAACCTGGTGGCTGTCATTGCAAGCGTAAAAATTATTGGATATTTTCATCAGTTTTAAACTAATTTTTCAATATATTTATGTGTAACTATTTTTACTTTTAATTTTTAGCAGGTCAAAGAAGAAGAAAAATGTTTCGAGCCCAACTCAAATGCTCGACGTTTTTTTTTCAAAAAGAGTCTGGAAAAATACTATCAGAAACCTCCAAGACGCTGCTTTTTCGTTGCTAGGCGACAGGAAAGCTCTTCCGATTTATACGGCCTTGCTTCCGATCAGCAGTGGCATTGGTTTTGGGAAGAAAACCCAACAGCCGGATTTTAGCGACACCTATGTGACGGCACGCCACAGCCTCATAGTTGATGTTGGTATATATAGAGGACGCCCTAAGCGGACACCACTGCCGATTGAGTCGGTGTAGTTCCCACGGTGTTTGGTTTGGCAATTGGCACGGCACGCTGTACCGATGGCGATGACCATCTTCATCCTCAGATTACAGATTACAAGATTACAGTTATGATCATTGCTTTTCTTTACTGAACACGAGCAGTCAACTGTGCCGCTGACCGCTGTCATCTCACCCTTAGGTACGGTACCCACGAGGCACAGACGTCAGACACTGGCTGGCGGAAGCAGAAAGGTTGCAAATTGCCAAATTGCAGAAAACTGAAAAGTAGCTTCGGGAGCTGCGAGATGGACCGTCATGCCTAACCTTTCTCAACTGCCCAAACAGGGCTGGAGCCTGGGGAAATGATTTCAGAGGTGGGGGGAGGGGAGGACTAGGCCTTGAGGGGCCTTCAAGGAAAAGGGCCCCCAAGTGTCTCGAAGGGCCCAAAATCATTTAGCCCGCGCGGGGCTGGGGGGGGTAAATTTTACCCCCCCCTCGCGAATTTTTGCAATATCTTAAAAACGGCGGCGCGCAGCGCCGCCAAACTTTCAGTACCTTTTCTTACATCAATTTGACACGTTCCCTGAAAATTTGAGCGAAATCCGTCGGAAAATTTTTGAGAAATTGACGTTTTAGTGACGTCATGTTCGCCATTTTCGCCTCAAAAACGGCAAAAGTTCAAACGCCGCTAACATCTTCATTTTTAAAGGAATCAAGACGTAACAAAAAATGTTACACGTAATTCTACTTTGTCTATCAAATGGCTATCTCGGTTTTTTGAAAATTTTGGATTTTGGCCCAAATTTTTTTCAAAAAACTGATTTTTTTGGGAAAATGATTATAAAATCCAAAATTTTGAGTGTATCGAAAAAACCGGAATATATGTCAGAGAAGTGGTCTATGTGCACCTACATACCAATTTTTAGAAGAATCGGTTCAAAAATGTGGGAGCTATTCAATATTTTATGACGTCACGACACACAAAAATTTTGAAAAATGATTTTTTTTGGAAGTTCTAGACCTCGTACGGAAACAAAAATAGCACCATTCGATTGGCCGTGAAAAACTGCATCAGATAGACACCTTTTTAGGGCTTAACAACCAACTTCAAAATTTGACCTCACTTGACCTGACCTTGACCTGACCTCGACCTGAAATTCATGCAGAGGTGGTCCATATCACTTATTGAGTTTGCCTATTGAATTCTATGAGTAAAATGACCCATAAAACATGTGTCGCACATGCCCTTTTCTATATTTTGTTTTTTGGTGACCTAACCTGACCTGACCTGACCTGACCTTGACCTTGACCTCTGAATGATATTGTATGCAACGAATATTGTCTTGGTAGCCTAAGAACACGTTTTGGGCAATCAGTCTCAGTCGATGACTCCATTCTTCGGCAACTACGGCGCAAGGCCGATACTGTAGAAACTTGCAATTTGTACCCTTGACCTGACCTTGACCTTGACCTCAAACTTTAAATTAAGTACATGTTTTTAGTTGTTCGTGATGAGATCTTGCGATTGGCGTTTGATTTTTCCAAATCGGACCATTAGTTCGGGAGATAACTGGGGGGGGGGGGGTAAAATTTACCCCCCCCCCCAGCCCCGCGCGTTCGGCTGGAGACCCCAGCCCCGCGCGGGTTAGTCCAGGTCGGGTCAGGTCAGGTTAGGTCAGCCAGTAGGGGTCCTGCCGTGAGGCTGCCGGGCATTCGTAGAAGGCGTCAACCGCCTCTGACAGCTTCGCAGCATGTTTCCATCGAACTTCGAAGGCACCAAAACTACTTCGTAGTTCGTTATGAATGTTCGAATAGCTGCTAAATTCGAATTCAGCTCCAAAAACTAGCCTAGAAACATGTATAACTCTAAAAAATGAACTGAGGTCAAGGTCATCAAAGGTCAATGACCTGACCTGACCTTCAGGTGACCTTGACACCCACCATATTGCCTGGCAGCAACGTCATATCATATGTTTGAACGCTTGCTGAACTGAACCACGAAAAGACTGCAGATGCGCGGCTAATACGAGCCAACATGTTGATGTGCCGAATCGCATTCGCGACTCCGGTCAAACATGGTCTCGAAAAGTAGGCGGTCGGAGGTCATTTGGGTCACGATCATGAAATTTTCAGGGTAGGTTTAGAATTAATCAACTCCTGAGTACTGAAATTTTCGTCCCGATCGGCCGCTTTTACGCGAGTGTTTCGCGAAAAACCGGGCGGGTCCGTTTGACCCCCCACCCCTATTACGGGCGAGCTCAGCCCGTGTGGTGCGGCACAGCCTACCACTCCAGGTAACCGACTGCCTGTGAGAAGTAGAACATCATTTGTGGTCGACTGAACGCACTTGTCTTTTCATTCAACGGCCCCTAGCTACCACCCTATTTCAATGAGCCCCGTCACTCGTCGTCCTTCCCCATCTTATTTCCTGATGCACTATGTACGTAATTGGTTATTTGCATTGAGATTATCACTGAACAGCCGAGCATGACATATCCCTCCGACTCACATCATTTTCTATTAGTATTTATTCTGCCAGCGACGCGAGACGCCGTCTCCCGAGACAAACTATTTCATTGTCTGATAACATTCCGGTGATATCTGCTGAATAATGCTGGAAAATTATGTAGACACCAATGGAAGTTCATGACAGTCAGGCACCAGGGGCGCCATGATGTATGAACAAAGTTGAGCTCTCTTGGCGAGGTCGACGCGCAAAAACATTAGCACCGGTGTGTGGTGACACCCGCTACGATCTCACCCATGATACTTATTTGCCTGACCCGACCCTCAGTGACCTGTGTAGTCTGTGTCTTAGTCATTGCGTGGTTCGAGCGATGATGGTGCGCGTCGTATTGCGAGCCAGGGTCTTATGGCGACGGTGAGTCGGCGGAGGGAGAAATTGATCAGCCTTTGTCTAGGGTTCAGAATGACGTGATATGACGTGATATGACGTGTACAGAGGTATGATCTAGGCTAATGTGGTGAAGCCGGGCAGTGCGCTCCGGGACACGAGCGGGTACGGGTGTGAATAGAGGCATCTGAGTGTACTGGACTTTTTGCATTACTACAAGCTATTTCGGCAACCATGTCACAGGAAAGCGCTGTGGCAAGTTCGGCGCTGGACATGCGGCTAATCCCCGAGTTCGATGGCGGTAACGCCTCTGTGGAAGAGTGGCTGGATAAGACGGAGCTCGTCTGTCAGCTGCGCGGAGTGTCCGACATTCAAACCGTCGTCCCCCTGCGGTTGACCGGCGGAGCCTTCAGCGTCTACCAGCAGCTGAAGCCCGAGGAGAAGCTGCAGTACTCTGCCGTCAAAGCTGCCCTGCTGCGGGCGTTCGCTGTGGATAAGTTCCAGGCGTACGAGGAGTTCACGGCGAGAAGACTTCGTGTCGGCGAGAGCGTCGACGTCTACCTGGCAGACCTGCGGCGGCTGGCCTCCCTGTTCGGCGGGCTCGGCGACACGGCGCTGATGTGCGGCTTCGTGGCCGGTCTCCCGGATGCGGCGAGGCATACCTTGAGGGCCGGCTGCCGCATGGAGAGCCTGACGCTGGCCGAGCTGGTGGAGCGGGCTCGGGCGCTGATGGCAGAGAATGCCGTCGCTGCAGCCGCTGCCGCCGCTGCGCCGGCCCGTTCCCGCCACACGCCGGCGTCATCACGGTGTTACCGCTGCGGTCGAGCCGGTCACTTCGCTCGTGACTGCCGGGCGGAGAGGAGAGCGGACATCATCTGTTTCCGGTGCGAGCAGCCAGGACACGCCGCGGCACGCTGCCCGGAACGGATGCCGGGAAACGCGTCAGGAGAGGCGGTGTCTGCGCCAACCTCCTCTCGGGCAGCCCAAGAGTAAGAGGCGCGCTACCGACGGTGCAGCTGCTGGTGAATGGGCAGCGCAGAGTGGCTGTTATCGACTCGGGCTGCAGCTGCACCATCATCCACGAGTCGTGCTGCGCGAGCTGGAGACGGTGCGGCGTGACTGTAATGGCCGTCAACGGGTCCCGGCTGCCAAGCAGCGGAGTAACGGAGGTGGCGGTTCAGCTGAAGAGCGGCGGGCCCGCGGTGACGCTCAGCGCCGTGGTAGTGCCGGACAAACCACTGGGCGTGGATATGCTGGTGGGGATGACCGGCATCGCGGCGCTGGGCGGGGTGACAGTGCGGGCGGCGGACGATGTGGTGTTCGGTGCCAGCGAGAGGCCCGACGTGGCCGTGCCGGGCCCGGGAGGGGTGCCGCCGCGATGCAGCGCCGTGACGCCCCCGGCGTTGACCGTGGAAGAGCGAGACTTCACGGTCACTTATGACGCGAAAAGTCAACACTGGACGGTGGCGTGGAAGTGGCGGAACGGGGCGGAGCCAGGGTGCGTGAGGAACGGTGTCCCCCAGTACGGCGTGCCGGCCGAGGCACGGCAGGAGTTTGATGCTGAACTCCGTACATGGATCGACAACGGCTGGCTGGAGCCGTACGACGAGACGGTGGACGGGCCGCCGCGCGGGCTGATCCCTCTCATGGCTGTTGAACAGCAGAACAAGACTAAAGTACGACCAGTCTTAGACTGCCGCGAGCTCAACAGCCATGTGGAGGCACACACGGCCGACGCTGACGTATGTGCCGACACGCTGAGGAAATGGCGGCGGCACGGGGCCAACGTCGCCGTCGTCGACCTGAAGAGGGCGTACTTGCAGCTCAGGACCGATCGTCGGCTGTGGCCGTTTCAGACAGTCGTGATTGATGGCCAAAGGTACGCTCTTACCCGTGTCGGATTCGGGCTCAACGTCGCGCCTCTCATCATGAAGGCGGTGGTGCGGACGGTGCTGCAACAGGACCCAGTGATGCAGGGCGCCGTCATACCGTACGTCGACGATCTGTGCGTCAATGAGGACGTGGTGAGCGCGGAGCGC